AAAAGCCAGTCCGAGAAGTCAATCGGGGCTGACTCGCTATTCCATTCTGCCAACTTCGGCAGGTCAACACTGTGTCGCACTGTCTCCGGGTCTTGGTCTTGACCTGTAGAGCCACCTTGCGACATTCGATCTTGGATCTTTTGCATGCCCTCAACAACCTTCAAGATCACATTGAGGGTCTGCTGATGCACTGAATCATCTTCTAGGAAACTTTCTTTCTTTTTCGTTCCCCTTCCTTTTCCCGTGGCCTCCCGGCCTGCTTCCTTGCCTTTGCCATCACCTTCACGAGGTCGATCTTCTGGCACTTCTTCCACTCCTGTCTTTGTTCTTCCGCGGCCTCCAGCATGTTCATCGCATCCGGAGCTGCCATTTGGCGTTGCAAAAACAGGATCATCTTCTTTCGAGGTCGGCTGAACCCATGACAGCCTTCTGACTTCCTGGTGGAGTCTTTGATTCTCCTCCAGAAGGTGGCTGATTCGTCGATCGGCCATGGTCGGACCGCCCATTGGTCCTTTTGGTTTTGCTTGCATCTCAGCTCGCAAAGCATTGTTCTCGCTGAGGAGCTGCTGCATCTGGATCATCATTTCTTCCTTCTCCTGACGCTCGAACTCCATTCGTTCATGGACCCGCAACATCAGGTTTTCTTTTTCTTCATCATCCCTTCTTCCACCCTTTCCTTTCTACACTTCTTGCTCGAGGAAGGCTGGTCTGTCGAGGATGGAGTGCATTGGTGTGTCGTACATTGGTGTACCGACTTTGGCATAAAGCCATGGTGCCTGTTGTTGAACTCGGTGCAAATCATCAAGCTGGGCAGGCGTGAACAACGGTGGTGTGCAAATGGAGTGCTGTTCAGGGACTTCACTTTCTTCGGGGATCCCACCAACACCACCTCCCTTCACACTTCCCTTTCCATCTTCACCCTGCTGGTCCTGGATGGCTTTCGGACCCAACACCTGCGGGGTCCTCATGTGAGCTTCTTCTTCTTTCTTTGGCTTTCCTGGACTCGGAGCTTCAGTCTTTGGCCTCGGGGTCGATGAAGTCGCGGCTGAGACCTTAGAGTGGCTATCCTCAGTTGACGGGACTGTGAGAGTGGGTGACCTTGTCGAGACCAGGTCGGTGGACGTCGCATCCCCACCTGGTGGTCCTTTTCCACCCTGTGACCCTTCGGCCACCCCGTCCTCCAGAGGGAGCTCACCCCTCTTCTTCTCTTCTTTCTTCATTCTGGCCTCGGCGGCCTTCATCTCCCTCTGACCTTGTGCCAGCTCTTCGGCGGTCGCTTGCCGCCTTCGATGCTGCATCATCGGCGGATGCTAGGCCCGCTTTGGGCTCATAACCTGATCTTCTCCGGACCAGGAACAAAGCGAAAAAGCTCGAACCCTCTCTCTCTCTCCACAAAGCACCTCCGCTAAGCGTCACTGATGGCGCACGGACCCTACTTTTTCCTGCGTGGGATCTCGTGCCGTAAAGGGCAGCTGGCATTCGACCAACTGACATGTGAACCTTCAAAGCAACCATGGAAGTGCATACAACAGGTACAATCCCCAAACGGAGGTACGGGTGAGGTCTGGGGATAGGACCCACCAAGTGGAGGAGGACCTGAGAGGACCCCCCACCAACTGGACCGCGCAGCATGCCACCAACGCAGCGAATGAACACACACCGAGGCAGTAACTGTTTGGACCTTTTGGTGCTTGGGCCAACCACCCAGACATACCTTCTCTTCTTCGAGCAACAAAAAGAGAATTGCTTCCCGATGAGAAAAATAACTCCTTAAAGATCCCTGTTGGGAAGGCTTTGATAAATCTGGTTCTGAGGGATGAACAACGGTCATCATCTTCACTACCGATTGACTCTAGTCGCCGAACCGTTCTCAAAATCATCATCTTTCTTCACCCCCTTCATACCCGATACCACCGTGTCTAAGAAAAAAACACATGTTTGGAAGCAACGTCACGATCTTTGCGTCTTCGTCGTGTCACACCGTCCCCACGTGCCGTCCCACCTCGAACGCCTCGCGCCTGGGCGTCCCAAAGGCCGCGCGCGCGGTGCCGCACGGACCGTCCGCCGTTGAACGCTGGTGAACGGGTTCGAGCCGGAGCAGGCGGCGAGGCGGTTCGGCACGCTCCCCCCCCCCCCCCGCGGTCGACCGCTGCTCGGCCAGGTGGCTTGAAAACATGCCCAAAAAGCACCATACAAGGACTACAGTAAGCCAGGTCGGCCAGGTGGCTGCTGACTGACCTCAAAAGAAATGTGAAATATGATGGAGTCTGAAATGAGTTGGGAAAATGAATGAAAATGATCAAGTGGTTGAGCGCCACTTCTGGAAGTGGGCACCTCCAGGTGCTGGCAACGACTTCTCATGAAGGCCAAGACACCACCAGGAGCAGGAGACCATGAGGATCCATGAGGTCTTATTTGGGAAGAATAGGACCAGTTTCAACATAACATCATAATTGGCCGTATGTTTGTCAGTAGTTCCAAGAGTCACGAGTTCACGTCACGAGTTTTCGGGCACTGCCGGGTAGTGAGGACGGAGGACGACGGTGCCCCGGTGCGCCTGTGACATCACATCCACCGGCGATGGGACGAAGCAAACCACCCCCAGCTCCATGTGACTCGTGGGCGATGGAACTTCTGATCGACTATCGACTTCACCCAGTGGAAGCGGTCATGGAGGAGGAACAAGCAAATGAAAAACGACCGCAGACCAGACCATGGGATATCTGGAATATAGTTAATGCATACATGTACTCCATTGATAATGTATATATGTTACTATTCCATACACGAATGCAATGATATATTACCATTGATTTCGTTCCTGTCCGTGATTTCGACAACGAACCTCCGCCCGAGTCTATCCGGAAGATCAACCAAGCTCTGTGCCCCACACCGGACCGCCCACATCACCGCCGTTCTGGACGAACCAACTCTCCTGGAGTTGTAATAAGTCCAGGAGAAGTAGCCTGGCAGCATTCTGAAAGGCGCGAAGCACCCCGCCTCCCCAATGCAGATGAACAACACAATGTAGGGAGACTTGATTCCGAGCACGAGATAGGAGAAAGAACGCAGGTTTGAATCTAGGAATGATGGAGGAAGCTGGAAATAGACTAGCTAGCACTTCCAGAAGAGGTCGACCTACTTGACCCCTCCAAACCTCGTCCTTGCTTCCTTGTGTATGTGTACGTATGAAATACCACACCTCTCCAAATAACGTATTGAGAAATGAGTTGTTCCAGAAGTGTACGTCCAAAGGGACAGACAGGCAATGAATCATCTTTCCCAAGCAGTTGGTCCGAATAGACTGACCGACTGACCGGCTGACCCCTGTAACGAATGAGAAGCTGGGCCTTTCCCTCAGCCTCCGAGCATGTAGTTGGAACCCTAACGGAACCTCCTTACAAAGCTCTATAGACTTGCGCGCGCACCGAGAGTTGAGAAAAAGAGGGTCGCTAGATGTAGGTCTGAGCAATAGAACTTTCTGTGCACCCCATGTGGCCCACGCCCCACATCTTGACACAGTTCTCGTTGAGGAAGCATGAATCGCATGCCCCGCTTTTGGGCGATGAAAGGGGTCTTGGGACTGCTCTAGGGTATAACAAGAGTCTGAACATGTTACCCATCTATGGTACCAGAAAGGGTCTGCAAGAGTAGCACAAACTCGTGATCTAGCAAACTTTGGCATTTGGTCGTCCCTCTACTGTCGGTGCAGAGTATACATAAATGGTCTAATTAATGGTACGTCTCAAGTCTATCTTATTTGAGTCAGCCCTTCTAGGCCACCCGAACAACGAAGTTATATAAAATTGACATCAGATCATCTTGATCAAGTAGAGCACAAACATCCCATGTAACAATCCGAGAAGATTACCCTTTTGCATCAGATGTTCCATACGCCTGCTGCTTCAACCGGACACATCAGTAGTGGGTATGAGATTTCCTAAAAGCCAGGATCGTCCAATGGGTGTTCTGTTTGGAGGTCGTAGTGGAGGGAGGGTACGTAGTCGTCCGCCAGGTGACCCGTTGGAGGATCCAATGTATGGCATGAGCAGTCATGGCACCAAAAAAAGAACGACCGGTTGACCTACCAACGATAGGTCAACCCACAAGGGATTAGGTGGGATTAGTCCGGCCCATCTATTAGATTGACAATGGATGAGGCCCCAACAAAGCACCAGTCAAACTTCTAAGACCCTATAGAGAAGACCATTTCAGCCGATGCTCGCATTAGCCGACAAAGACCTGCACCCCGGGCAACCCTGCCGAAGCTCGCATAGCCTCACGACAAAACAAAGACACATCCTTTGGCTTGTTGTTAACTGGAATGACCCATCCATGTTGTTCACGTCCGATCAGTTTCCGTGCGAAGGGCCGAGCGAACGGAGGACGTCGGGAAGGCCCCGCCCCTCACATCCGTTCACTTACGGATTTGATGTCCACTCGAAAAAAACCTGTTCGAGATCAATTAACGAACATCTCCAGTGAGCGGCTCAAAAATCAAGAACATGAGAGGCCCTTCTGTTTCGGTCGTCCGGTTTCAGGCGTGGCAAAAAAACAGGACTTCGTGATCCGATGCGCTGGCAACGGGCTGCCCGGTGCGGACGAGTGAGGCCAGGGCGGCCAGGCGCTGGGTGAGCAACTCCAAATGGCAAAAAAGGAAACAAAAAGCACACAAATGTTGCAACAAAAAAGAGAGTGACTCAGGAGTGAAATGGCAAAACAAAAAAAAACGTCCAGGAAAATTCCACCGAAACCATCGGGACTGGAATGTTTTGGCCGATCAGTTGGGGTCATGTTCGTAAGATGGTTGATACTTTTTGTGCAGTGCATGTTACTACTCCAGTCCCATGGATGGCCTGGGACAGGTCATCCTCGAGTTCGAGAACCTGTCGCGGTTTGGGTCGGTCGGACCCCCGACCTGATCGACCACTGGACCGGATCAACAGTCATAGCGGGTGTCCCAAACCCGCCCCTCCCAGTTCTCCAAGGGTGACCTGTTTGCTTCAAACCTCATTTGTATCATCTTCGAGGGCTTTTAGGACCAGCCCAAGGCATTTAAAGTGGCGCAGCCCCCTTGGCAGGGCTACCGCTGCCAGATTCGTGCGGAAGCGATCTATCAAATACGGATTCGTACGTTGGATCTGTACGAAATCGTGTGAAGTCAGCGTCAGGCTCTGGAGAGTGTTCGGCAAGATGGCTCCTAACAAGGGTTTGTCGCGACCAACATCCAACGTCAAGCTCAGGAGGTTGCAAGGCCAAGTCACACGCTCCAAATTCTGATGGCCTATCGGGCCTCGGAAAGTCAAGTTTTGAAGGTGGTCCGGCCAAGTCACCCCCTCCACACTCCCCTGAAACTGGGCTCCAAGGGTCAAGCTTTGGAGCTTGCGTGGCAAAGCGACGCCCTCCAAAGGCTGATTAAAGCGGTCGCCAAGCTTGAGATGTAACAAGTTGTTGGGCCAGGTGACGCCATCTAAACTCTGCATGAATCCCTCCCCAAACGTCAAGCTTTGTAGATCCACGGGCCAAGTCACCCCCTGGATCAGTTGATCGAATTCGGCTCCAAAGGTCACACTTTGAAGGCTAGGTGGAAAAGTGACTCCCTCCAGCTCTTGATTGAATCTGTCTCCAAACGTCAATTGTTGAAGGTTGCAAGGAAAGTCAAATTGCTCCAGACTTTGATTGAAGCCATCACCAAGCTCCAGTGTCTGTAAGCTGCTTGGAAAAGTGACGTTATCCAAACTCTGGTTAAACCGACTGCCCAGTGTCAAAGACTGCAGGCTGCCGGGAAACGTCGCTCCCTCCAAGCTCTGGTCAAAGAACTCTCCTAACCTCAAGCTCTCCAGGCAGTTGGGCCAGGTTGTTTGCAGCCTCTGGTTGAAGTTTCGGCCAAATCTCACACTGCGCAGGTGGCATGGCCAGGTCACGTGCTCCAAGCTGCAGTTGAAACGATCACCGAAGGAAACTCTCTGCAGATTGCTGGGCCATCTGCTGGGCCCACCGAAGGGCTGATCGAAATTCCTGATCGAACATCACATTTCATGCAATGTATGAGCCCCCATGAGCATGCAGTTAGATCAAACAGGTACTAGTACATTATCCTTTCGCATCGAAAAGGGGTATAAGGTTCTTTCAAGAAAACGGGTCAAGAGAACTAGGCACAAGGAGTTCTCTTAGGTGAAAAAGCTTGGAACAATCCTCACTCAGTCCCATCCATCCCCTCTGGATTCCAAGAGGGACGCGATCCCCACACACTTTCTTTTTTGCATCTCCGAGTGTCCGGCTGAGGCTCAAGGTCACCAGGCTGGCCGGAAGTCCCTCCAAAGGTTGGTTGAAAGAACTGCCAAAGGCTAAGACTTCAAGGTTAGGCCAAGCGATTCCCTTCAAAGGTTGGTTGAAAAAGTCGCCCAGCATCAAATGTTGGAAGCTCTCAGGCCAAGTGACCCCTTCCAAGCTTTGATTGAACTGCAAACCAAACGTGATTTGGCGTAAACTGCTGGGCCAAGCCACTCCCAGCAAGCTCTGGTTGAAGCAATCACCCAGTTTGAGAGATCGCAGGCTGCTGGGCCAACGCACTTCTTCCAAACGCTGGTTGAAGTCCATTCCGAAGTTCAAAGTTTGGAGGCCATTAGGCCAGGAGACCCGTGCCAAGCTTTGATTAAAATAGTGGCCGAAGGTGAAGTTCTGGAGCTCTCTGGGCCACGAAACTCCCTCCAAACTTTGGTTGAACATATTGCCGAAAGTCAAAAAAAACAATGCGTGCGCCAACCTAAGCCCGTAGGTAGTTAGACGCACCCCGGTTAGTACCGGGCTTTGCACGGATAAAGGCAAGGAAAGAAAACCTTGTCGCAAAATGCAAGCGCCCGAGGGCAAATGAAAACAATCCAGGCGGAACCCGGAAAAGAACCTAAGGAGAAGAAGAAATGGGATGCAAAGCATCGTTGATTTCGAAAGCAAGCTCACAAGCAGCAATCTGGCATTTGGCTCTTTGCACAGCCGAAACGGCTGCAGAAAGCACAACCCAACCACTTTTGGAGGTGACGCGAGGCTGAAGTGCCCACCAACCAGAAGGGATTTGAAAAAACCCTCAAGAAAATCTCGCTTTGCTCTGAACTTGGGGCACAATGCCCAAAAATGCCGCATGGAGGCGAGCTGCGCATTGCAGAAAGGGCAAGAAGGATCATGGCTATACCCTCCTCTTGTAGGGGTCTGGATCGCACCACCCCGATAAATATTAAGAACAATGAGGTTTTTGCGAGAAAGCTTTGCTCGCCACGTTGACCATAGAGGGTGGGACGAAGCCTCAACATCTATGTTACTGAAATCTTCAGAGTCCAATCGAGAAGGCCGGATCTGCAAAAGGCTTTTGTGTCTAGCAGCAACCCGAAGGACATGAGGTGGAACACCTTCTGGCATGAGTTTGATGGATTCACCATACGCACTAACGAAACGGCTCAAATTTTGATTTTGAGGGTTAACTGAAAAGTACAGGCCCCTATTATCCCAAGACACAAGATGCAAATCCAAGAGTTCAAGGTAAAACTTAACTGCACGGAAAACAGCGTTTGGAGGTGGATTATGAAAGCGGTGCGCAGACAACACAGCTGCACAGGCCAAGCCAAAGATTGGATGAATGTCAATTCTATCAGCCCAAAACCTGCCACTACACCACCAAGAGCACTTTGTGTGATTCAAAAGTTGGTGAAAAAGCTTACTCACAAACGAAACAGGTGGGGGTGCAATGAGAGGCACCGGCCAGGTCCATTTGCTTTTGAAGAAAACACGGACGGCATTCTCGCGGGGCATGACGCCACCAGGAATCTTCGCAAGAAAAGGAAAATTATCGGCAATGGCATCCCACCCATTGCGCAAAGTGGGCAAATCTTGCGAGGCGGGGCACACCGAGAGACTAAGGTGTTCAACGGCATCATTATTTGCCCAAATTTGTCGTTTCTTCATATTTTCAGAGAAACCAACAACATCATCAAAACGACGAGTTGAAGCGAGAGCCTCATTCAGGTCTTCCAAAGTACCGGAGCACCGCAGCGACCTGTCATCACAATATGCCCACGTTCTAACCATGGGGTGCTTGAGGTGAATGATCGCATGCCAAGGTCGAAGAATCTGGGCAAGCACAGTTGGAGACGTGGGATCCCCTTGAGGAATTGACCTAGTGGGAATAAGGGGCTTCAAACAGAATGAACCCAAAACATTCACGAATCTAGGGCTTTTCCACGCTAATTGCAGAAAATTGACGATGCATTTAGGGGTTCCACCGAAAGATAAAGCAGCCTTAGCGGCACCCCAATTCACTGAATCAAAAGCTTTCTGCAAATCAATCTCTGCACCACATTGGCCAGGGTGAGCAAGCCAATCAGCAGTAGCATGAGCAACGCTGGTCTCCTTGCGGCCAGCCCACTGGTCTGCAGGCAATGGAGGCAATACTTTTAAAACTGCTTTATTCCAACAACGCAAAATGATGGAACTGACAGCAATAGGCCGAGATTCATCAGAAGCTCGCTTTGGGATTCCTACAAGTTTCCAACTGAACAAAAGAAAAACAGTAGGACACTGATTAGGATCGATAGAATCGGATTTAAGGACGACGCATCTTAAAATGTCGAAAAGCTTGCGAAGGAGCCAAGGACACGACCGTGCCAAAAAACGAAACTCAGCACTAGTCCAGCCATCCAGACCCGGGGAACCTTTGGCATTTTCCGCAGCATCTAAGAAATCTTCCCAAGTTACAAAATCTTCGACGGGAGTGCAAGCCTGGAGTTGTGCCTCACGAGCAGCGTTGAGCCAAGCATCCCCGCGATCCATGTCCTGGGGAGGTGCAAAAGAAGCCTTCCAATCATCCAACAGCTCCTGGGCAGAGACAGGAGGAGGGTTCAAATCAGGCTTCAAAACTTCTTTTGCAGCTTTGACAGTCACGTGATTCCACTGGCGGAAAAGTTGTTTCCAAGACGCATTTTTGCTCTGCTCATCCGAATCACAAAGGAACTTTATGGCTTTTGATGCAGTGGCGATGGCATCACTCTGAGAACGAGGAATTTCAAAAATGATAGAAGCAACTACCTTGTCGTTAACAGCAGCAAGCCAATGCTTGAGTTGACTCTGCGTTAGAGGCCCTTCGGAATCTAACTTAGCCTGCTCCACAGCTGCACGGTGGAGTCTCTTACATCTACGAACAGCAATAGAATCATTGTGAAAACCCGAAGAGGTAGCCCATGCTTTAGAGGAGGGAGGCGACCCCTTAGCACGTTCAGGCCGAACACTGCGGGCACAAAACTTGGCATCACAAGTTCGCTCGAACAACAGCGTGCCAGAGCTTGCTCTAAAAGATCACTACTCAGCAAGCCATGGGCAAGTTAACCCGTGGCTGGCCAGGGCACAAGGTTGCGACAGAACCTTGCAAGGAGGTAAAATAAGCACTGAAGCAAACATACTCTCAGGAAGTCCCAAGAGTGCAATGCCGAAAGTCAAAGTTCGCAAGTTGTCGAGCCACCTGACTCCCTCCACAGTCTGGTTGAAGGAAGCGCTCAAGGTCAGACTGCAAAGGCTACTGGGCCAAGCCACGTGATCCAAGCGTTTGTTGAAGCCGTCACCCAACACCAGACGTTGTAAGCCACTCGGCCATTGGACGTGCTCCATTTGACACTGGTTGAGATGATCGCAGAAGCTGAGACTCCGAAGGCTTTGGGGAAGAATCCTCAGCTCATTGAGCCGTGCCGCTTCCACTCCTTCCATGTGGCTGATTCCTTCGGTGAGAGGAAAACGAGAGTCGGACCAAAAAAGATCGAAAGACACTGGAATCGGGCCCAATCAAAACATGGCGTGGTGACGTCGTGGTTTGGTTTGTAAGTTTGCCTCCCCTGCACCCAGATGTCCCACTCTCTACGACTACAAGAACATGGAACATGGGGAATGCATCGAATTCGTGGTCTTCGCGCCGGAAGTGTGACGACGTCATCTGCTTCTGCCCTACCTTCCAGTGCCCGGAGAGCTGGATCATCGGCTGGCAAGCCTTGTAGCAGGTTCCAGGCATCCTGTAAGCTGGATGGTTCATAGATGTAGGACACACCTTAGTATATGATTGGCAAATGCTTGGAGGATGGAGTTATGTAGATATCTGCCCTACGTGCCTCATGTGCCAAGCGAAATGGAACTGGCGAACCAAGTCTCCAGGACCTGAAGCCTCGGTGCACAGGGGCAGTGGCTGAAGTCATCGAGCGCCAAAAAAGTCTCGCCCTGTTCGGGTTCGCACGAATGGTCCAGGTTTCGGCCGGGACTATTACCCTAATGCTCCTGGCCCACCTCCGTTTCGAAGGTGGTTGGGGTGCGTTGTGGGGTCTAACCACCGAACCTGAGGGTATGGTTTCGGCCGGGACTATAAGTCTGGTGCGACTGCGACAGCGACAAACAGCTTCGACTGCAGACCAGGCACAAGGTGATTCCCCAACCAGATCTTGTTCCTTTAGAGTCTTTTGCAGTGAAAGCGCTTCCGAGCCGTTCTGCACCCGCACTCTCCCAGCCACCTTCGGCACCAGCTGTGCGATCCGTTGCAAGAGTTGAGCACCGGTGAGAGACTCAGAGACGGGACCGAGCCGGAAGCTGCTGCCATCCAAGCCAACCACATCGATCTCCTTAGACAGATCCAACATAGGATCCAACATGGTTTGAACCTGGTGGGCAACCTGAGTAGACGCTTCAGGTTTTATGTGGTTTTCGTATGTTCCCTCAGCAACATCTCCAAATGGATGTGTAGGGAGACCCTTCGTAGACCTTTGTCACGGGAAAGTGATCAAGACCGGGTCTCGCTTCTGGAGGGTTTTGGCCCTGCGGAACGCAGGGCTTTGGACCCTCAAAAACTTCACCTTTGAGGGTCCTCGATTCCTAGGGTTAAGGGTTATGAATATTCACTGCACCTGTCCTTAACCCCAACCCTTAACCTAACCCTGTTTTTTTTTTCTAGTTATAACCCTGGTGATTTTCTGGTTTAAGGGATACTATACCTGGTTGTAAACCAGCTATAGAGGGGCTTCCTTGGTGTTTCTCCCACCACACCCGACTAGAACTGGTCGTCCTTCAGACGGCACAGCAGGACGATCAAGCGAGAGGCCGTGTCAAAAATAGGAAACCAATGGACTGCGCAGTCAGAACTGCAGTCCAAACAGCTTACCAGGTGCGAAAGAAAAAGGCTGAAACCAATGCGGACACAAATTGATGCCAGGTGCGAAACCAACGGGTCACCTGGCTGGACAACCCTACCCTACCGGCCTAGGTCTCCAGACAGGGCACCCATTGGAAGTGCTAGGTAAATTGAATTGTATCATGAAAAAAACATTGGAAAAGACCTCGTTGGCTGGCACCAACGCATGAGTACGGTCCGTTGAACAGGCATGTGCAGAACTGGATTTTGGAACGTTTCGGATAGTCTTGGGGGCCAGATGGGGCCAATTTTCTGAAGGCCACTATTTCTTAAGCAAAACATCATCATAATCATCATAAACGTTTTATCTTTAGACATATAATGATTTTCATTTACAGAAATAAACAAAAACAAGTACTTTGGATAGATTGGATGAGTGTTCTGCGGTCCAGTTGAACCAAATCAGCTTCGGTGTGAAGTCGTTTCACTCAAAATAATTCCAGGTCTCAACGAGCCGTTCTTCCCCACGACATGCGACAAGCGTGGCACCGTAGCCCATGCCGGCCATGGCGATGTCTGGTGGCAACGCGCAATGTCAGGTGCTCAGCAACCAAAAAGGGATTGAGCACCAGTGAGGTCAACTCCCTTGACATCAACTGACAAAAAGAGACAGCTATACGGTATTATACGGTATATGAGGTACATTGTAAGTAGCCTTTATGCTTGACTTCACACCATGGAGACACATGGGAATGGCATGGGAAGATTTACTTAGGCGTATCAATCATGACGTGTTTGAGATATAACAAGCGTGGTTCACCTTATTGTAGATATATGGTTTTTGGTGAGTCTTGACATGTCTTGACTTACACCCACGTGTTCCTTGCAGAACAAAAGCTGAATCCCCAGCTTCTCTGCTCCCTTAGAGCCTGCTCTGCTTGGGGTTCCGGAAAAGAGGCTTGGGAACCAAGTCCCTCGATCTGGAGAATCACTCCGATTCGACGCGCATCGCGAGGGTCACGAAAACGGCTGTGAGTTCGGATCGCGAGGACGGGGATCCGACGAACAGGACGAACAGGACGGGCATCCCTTCTCACAGTGAGTCTAGTATTTGATCTTGAGTCCTTCGTAGTATCTGTATTTGATCTTGAGTCTGTATTTGATCTGTATTCTGTATTTTTCGGAAAGCGCCCCTGGCCCTGGTAGACTGATGGACTGGTCGAGTCGACGTCCGACTCTTCCGCTCGGAACGCGGTCGACCACGACCTCGAAGGGACGCATCCGCACAGACTGAGTGCCCAGGCAGTAGAGACCTGCAAGCACCCCCAGCAGCAAGCCACACAGTACCGCAGCGCCCAAGGAGAGGTTGAAGGTGCCTGAGGAGACGTTGAGATGCTGGGATTGGAAGAAGAGAATGTGTTTGTGTGTGGTTTTTCCTGACCCTTATGACAATGTTAGTTCCTTTTCGATTTTGGTGGAAATCGCGGGCTCCAAGAATTCCCAGGTCCAGATCTGGGCCCCAAGCAATCCCTTTTTGACGCTATAAGGGGCGCGTATGTTCGTTTCGGAGCGTGACGCTTCAGGGCACCTCCGCAAGAAGGATGACACATAAAAGAAGAAACCGTATATCTATTCGAGCGATAGTCTGTCTGTACCTATCCGTCCATGCATCTGTCTATAACATTAAGTGTATATACCCGGTTTTTAGACAGATTCCCATGAAGCACGCCTATTTCCAGACAATCTAGTCACCGAATGCAAGGGTTACAAACCTGCAACTTGCTTCCCTCTAGGACTTCGAGACCTGTTGGCAGTCCAGCTGGTCATCCTCCCATCCTGACGTGCAACTGCTACAGGTCCTAGGTCCGACTCCAGAGTCATCAGGGTGCCTTCCGTGACATTCTTCTTCGCAGGGGATATATAACAAAAACGGTGGTTTAATCAGTTTGATCCCCACAGAATCTGAACCAACTGAATAAATCTTGGAAAAACCATGAAAAACCATGAGGGAGCCATGGATTTCCCCACCAATGGACCCGCTGTGATTCCAAAAGACCGTCAAGGAAGCAGCACGGACCATCTGAGAACTGCCGAACGCTCCAGCTCCCAAAGCTCCCGAAGCCGCGCCGTGCCCTGGGTGCCCCAGGCTGCGTGACCGCCGCGCCCACATGGCCGGCACGGCCACCAGTGGCGCGGCGCACATCAGCAGCACAGCCTCGCCATGTTGGACATGATGGACTCCATGGGTTTTTGGACCGAAGCTGTGTAGCAATTGGTTCGGGTCATGTGGATCATATGGATCGCCTTTTCTTGGTGGGGAAGAAAGATGAAGAAAGTGAGGCTGAAGCCGTCATCCCGGCGATGGGAGTTCTCCTGGATGATGGGATCATGACATCATCCGCGCGGGACAACGGCGGATGATAAACGCAACACCCCGCAGCACGTCTTCGGGTCTTCGGCATCGACCAGATCCACCCACAAAGGCTGTTCTGGACTCCTGCCGTGCCTTCGGATGGCGGAAGAAGGCCAAGTAGAAGAGGTTCACGGTAAACAGGTAGACGACCTGCCAGGAAGGCGTGTCTTGCCATGCGTGGGTGGAAAGGGTCGGTCGGCTTCTTGCGACGGCATCGCGGCACGCGTCGCGGGGTTGAGGAAAGAGAATCTGCCTGCCACCTGACACACCAAAACTATACTGCAAGTATAGTATATATAAGACATCCTGAATGGTCCCGGGTCATGCAAGCGACCGAATCTTCTTGCCTGAAAAAGGTGCGGTCTTGGTCTCGGTTTTTCGGAGGACGGTTGCAGCTTGCTGACGGCCGTTTCGTACACAGACTCCGAGAGATGCATGAAAAGATCCCCGACCCAGTCGAACACCCCGTATCTCCGTCCTAAGACCTCGGTCACCGTCTTCATCCCGGTCACCGTCCCCGAACCACGCGAACTCTCCGTGCTTTCTCCGCGGTTTCTCCGGGCCGTGAGGGCGAAGACCAAGGTCTGCGCATCACTCAGGCTGGGCAGCACCCTGCGACCGGGTCCGGCGGTATCCACGGCGGTTTCCGTCGGCGACTTCGGATGTGAAGCGAACGGGGTGATAGAGAATGACACCGGACCCAAAAGGTCGAATTCAACATGCCAAGAAAGGGGCTCAGGCTTTCCAACAAGGTGCTTTGGTTCAGTTCTTGGGGAGGAACGTCTCGAACATGGTGGCGGAAAGAAAAAAGAACCGTTGGCAATCGTTGGCAGCAGGTCACCACTTTCTTTCGCGAAACATGTCGCTGGTATGCAAACAAACTGCAAACAAAATAAGGACCCAGAACAGCACCCGCTCCAACACCCTGTCCCCAGCACACACAGCCACTCATCTAAGAACCCCATAGCTATCACAACAATGTGGTAAAAACTCCAATACCAACCAATTTGGATTTGTAGCATGTGCACACACCGACATCATGTATCAGTTGTAACATGTGTACAGGAGTTAGATAGGTGGAGTCGACCACGGACACGTGGATTGAAACTCACACGCCAACGAGATTGGGTTTGGAACATTTCCCATAAACTCCATGGGACTGGTGGGACTGGAATATGCCACCCCATTGATCGCCCCAGTCGACCACCCACCCCCTGGCCTGATCGGCAGTCCGGACTGGCAGTCCCAGACAGGGTCGCGTCTGGGTTTGTACACACCGACATCACATTAAATGAAAGATTTCAGGGGTCATGGGCAGGAGGAGTTAGGTTGGAGCCGTCGCCGAAATCGCCTGGGTGCTTTCTGTTTGAAGAGCTTCTTGGTCTTGGCCTCTGCACCGCCATAGTCCTGGACATGCTGAAACGACCACGGCGAAAAATATATAAATTACCCTACAGGTCAACGACCTCATTTTACTGGACATGGTCATACCAAAACCCTATTTCAGGAGGTAAAAATAAGTCTTATTGGGTCTTTGGACTTGTAGGTTTAGGTCTAAAGCAAACGAAAGGACCAAGAACGCCGTTTCAGGGTCTATTCGCCTGGTGTTTGGCAGGCACTGAAGACGACCCACTCCCAGAGTCCCTCGTTGTGCTCGACCAGTGTTTTGTGCCTGTTCGATTGTAAATTCATGTCAAAGACCCTTACAGAGATAAACAGTCATTAACTGCAAAGAATGATCAAAAAGCAGCTACGCACGGTTAACCTGTTGATGAGTAAACCGTTCTCAAATGATTTTAAGTGGAGATGTTTCACAACTCTGCAAGGGAATGAACTCATCTTTTCAACCAACATATATATCTGGCAGGCCATGCACCGCGTCACCCCAAAGCTCCTGACGCCCTCTAGGTGACCTGGCAGACATGGCGAAGGTCATCAGCGCAGAAAATGCCAAGGTTCTCAGAAGATGCAGAGGAAAGTCCAAAAAAAAAGTCATCCACCTTCATCTAAGTTCTCAAACAGGTTGAACCACGATACAAACAGGTTTGTTTGGCCCTCTAAGTTCTCAGACAGGTTGAACAACGATGCGGAAAAAAAACAACTGCTGACCTTCACCACTTGGCCCCCTCTTTTCTTTCTGCCACGACCCTTGTCAGCTTTCAACTCCAAACCACTGACCGCCCGCCTTCGCCCGCGACCGGCTTCGTTGTCCCAGACTGGGGTGCGGCAGAGGCGTAAGGGCACTGGGCAGCACGGGTGGTTTGAGGGGGGGAGGAGGTTAGGGAATGCTTATCTCTTTTAGGCCTTGCCCAAGTCTGCTAACGATTTAAAATTGTCTAATTAAGACAACTTGATAAGGTTGCAATTTTAGGTATGTTGGACCCAAACCCAATTGTTCAAAGGTTATTGCCAAACTGCGTTTAAAATGCATAAGAGGTTTCCACATGACAATACACTGGTAGGTTTACAGGTATGTGCCACAAGAAAGCTACCTTGTGTCCCCAACAATCTTTCTTACTTGCGGAGAAGGATGCTTTCTGGGGCAACATAAAGAATCGAGCAAACTTTCCCCAGCCCAAATGTTGAAGAAACATGTTCAATGATTCAATGGGCACTTAAAGGCAAAATTGCCTACAGAAAAAAAGAACAACCATGAACAACCGCTTTTAAAGGCAAATCAAAAAAGGAAGCGCTTTAAAACGCACACTGACTACAGAAAGCTGCTTTGAAATTGCCTACGAAGACCGTTTAAAGGCAAAACTTGTTGACGAGACCGTTTTAAGGACTTAAAGTGGTCTAGAGAAGGCCCCCAAGGTTGAGACTCGAATGCCCAAACCAACCGGAGTTCCTCTTGAGGCGAGCAGCAAAGGGAAGCCAATTTCGGGTCACTGGAGCGAATGGTTCCCAACCAAGCACTGGCCGATGACACCATGACTGTCCTGTCTCTTTTCTTTTCCCGGGCCACCACGGTACCACCGCGACGTTCCATCTGGCGGTCCAGACGAGGACTCTGCATTGACCTCAGTGGAGTCTTCAGTGGGTCATGTCCTTCCGGGTGGAAAGGAGTGAAACGGCAGGCTTCGTGGCCCGCCCTTGCCCGACCCGCGTCGTTGTTGGCTGGGGTTCGAACATGTGTATGTTCTCATGCACGAGCTCTCATGCGTTTATGTGTGTGTGTGCGGTCTCATACATGTTCATCAGATTTGGAAGGTACATATTATAGCCAATGACGGGATAGTTGAGGGACATTCCGCCAGCGAAGAGACCCTTGGAATGCCCAATCCATCCTCTGGAACTGAAGCTGTAGTCACTGTAGTTCTTTCCTGCAACACGAATTCTGTGGCGTATTCCCTGAGACCTTGAGCTATCATCCATCTAAGGTAGTTGTGAATCCTGCATGTCGCTGGTAGTCGTGATCTTCAACCAAGGTTATGAAGCTACCTGCAGTGGGGGACTCCCCCCCATGCAATATCTGCCCAAGCTGCACAGACGGAGACCCGCCCAGGGCCCCAAGGGGCCGCGCGGCCCCCCACAGGACGGGAACACACTGAGCCGGGAGGGTTGGGCGAGACCACATCTGTGCAATCTGAAGATAGGTGCGGCTGCACATTCACATCCCGTTCGTGCGATTCCTTAAACATCTTCAACAACATTTCGGACTTCTTTATCTTATCAACCACACGGGTCACAAGGACCCACAAAACAGTGATTTCTTCGAAAGTAGGAGTCAGGAGCTCTCAAAGACCATTAAAAGCATCGTTGACCTGGTGTTACAGTCTGAAATCCTTTTAGTAAAAGACTTGTTGTTTGGTAAAGACCATTAAAACGATGGTTGTTGGCGCAGTTGGAATGCCGTGTTCCATGGCCACGGGAGGGTAGACGCCCCAGACCGCCCATACCTAGACGCCCCTGACCGGAATAATCTTTGCAGCCCTTACCGGTTCATGGACACCCCTTAGCCAATGGGTACCCCTTACCACCGGGTGTCCTGGTATACCTGGCCTGGACATTGGCATTCTTTGAAAAGATCACTTGACTCAGGGATCGACTTGGTCTGAGTGGCAAAATTATTAATGGATTATGCGGCTATGCGTGCTTGATATAGCATTTTACATATGCGGCCTCTTTGACTGTCAGTCATTTTTGTATGTTCCAGCTACTGACTCGCTTGTCCGCTCGTTGGCCGCGTTGTGACGAGCGTGGTGCGGCCACACCATCCATACACCGGACCGTTGGCGGCCGCGTCGCCAGGCCTATCCTTGATCTATCCCAGACACAAACCCATGGGGACTGACATATTATACCTACATTGGGTCTCCGTGTGCCCCAAAACCCGCCCCACTCGCTGCCGACAACGGGTGTGGTCTTTTTCGATGGGCGCCACATTCGACCGAAGATGAAGGTCTTTCTAAACGATCTGATCCGATCTCTTGGAGAGCGGAGAGAAAGAAACCAGGCGCCACGACGTCGCCAGCAGACCGGCTGTGGCGCGCAAAGAAGAAAAAGAAGAAGAAGAAGAAGGAGGAGGGGCTCTTCTCAACATCAAGAATTGATAAAATCCTCTGAACATCTCTGAACAGTGTCAGAAAGCTTAGAATATGTCCCGTACTGCTGACTTGGGTACTGTACAGGGAATTGCGAAGTGGGCATGGCATGGTTTCGGTAGGTGTGAGTTTCCCCGTACAGACTTATATAACAACTATAAACTTATGCCACACGCGTTCAGCAGAAGGGCTGCAAATTACATAAATAGGCCCTATGTGTGAGGGAACACAAGAATTCCGTTGATTGGCAAGTTCTCCTGCACCACAGGGCCAAAACAAAATAGACGACTAACGAAGTCATTTCTGATAAGAGAAGGAGAGGGGTCTTGGCTCCTGCTGAGCTCCTTTCACTAGAGCCCCGATCCGGAGCCGTCGTTCTCCGATCTACTCGCTGGCGATGAAAACCGCGCCGGGTGGAAAGTGGCGATGAAAACAGCGATGAACGGGAAGAAACCTGGATAGTCCCCTTAAGTACGAAAGCACTTATATATTGAATCCTCGGATCGCGAGACGCCCCAAGCAATTGTTTGTCATGTGTTCTTTTCGAGTGTTCGTTCTACCAAGGTTCTTGGGGAGGAGTCCAAAACTCGAATCTGCAACGCAAAAAAAAGCCGCAGCGAGTGGAATTTGGGATGCTCACAAATGCGACCCCTTCCCACGTAAATCATGCCATCGTCCAGCCACCGGCTTGCCAGCTCAACGAAACCCCGGTGTTCCCACCGTGCAGAGCGCGCGTCAGGCGCGACGGCGACCTCGGTCGCCTTACAAGGAGGTGGGAGTCTTCTTCCAAGCCTCCTCGATATCATCGAAGCTGGGGACCTCAGTCATCCGCAAGCTACCTCAGGTGGAATCCTTCAAAAACGAACATCTCCAAGTAAGTTCTTAGCTCTGGGTGATGCATCAGCTGGCTTCCCTGGCTTGGGCAGCGCAGGATGTAAGTAAACGAATTATTTTACAGCGATCCCATGAGTTCAGCCATTTTGATTAAAAATTGTTAAAGGAGCTTTCTATATTCCAAGCACGTCAATGTCTCTGGCTGGCATTCTTCTGTGTTCGGGATCCTGATCCGCACTCCGGGTCTCCGGACGAGGCTGGGAACGAAGCATCCATGGAGCCCATGGGGCAAGAACGCCGGCACCGGCAGGCGGCCTTTGGTCCAGTCGAGACGTTGTTGCTTAAAGAATCCTTAAACCCTATGGGGATCCAGTCGTACCGAACCTCAGGTGGGACTGGGGTGGCTGTGGAGGGTCCAGTCGTGCCGAACCTGAGGAGAAGGTACGACTGGATTGCTAGGGAAAGACATATTATGTGAGGGCTGCCGCCTTGATTCTATCGAAAGAGTCTCAAATTAGACATCAGACAAATAAAATAAGGGTACAAGTACCTGTAAGCGTATACCTCTATACCTGGGGGTCGGTTTTGCACATCCCCTTTTCTGGAATACTTGACATTGGATCCAGGGTACCATCCAGGACCTGTGGAGAGCCTGGCTCGCTGCGAACGCTCTTCCTGAGCCTCCCAGCAAATGGGTCCTTTCTGGATGGTCTTCGCATCGAAGATCAGCAGGTCTGAGCCTCGTGCAGTGAAGTTTCAGAAGGAATTGGAAACGGATAAAAAGGACAAAAGGATAAGGAACAGGAAGCCAGGAAGGCTAAGCGGCTAAGGTGCTGATGCTAACATGGAGGGGTACAATTTGGGGGTGGACATCAATAATAGAATGAGGGAACTCAGAAACATGGGATATGTCTCTTGTTAGAAAGAGTTGATTGAGGAACTCCCCCGTAAATGTCGCACCCACCTAGAACAAAACATCTAGAGGTTTGGGGTGACCTGTTTGCATGGCGACAACAAAATCATGGCAGATAAATAGACGTTTTTTTCTGTGCAGTACGCAGGGGCCAGTGCTTCAGAGTCTTTCCTTGCTTCGAGGATCCTCCAAAAATGTGTCCTTGTGATCATCAAGGTGTGAGTACGCTTCAGCATGCTTCAGCCACATGACCCGAGTCAGTGTCCCTCCCACAAATGGGACCCAAAAATGTGTTTGATTTCGCATGGCTTCATATACCGAATTCATGGCCCAGCATTGAATGACTTTGACCAAACCACCACTGTTTGATGGATTTTCAACACCAGATCCGAACTCGAAATCGGTCGAACTGAACGGCGACATCCCGGGTTGGTCGAACACATCTTCTGCGCCGAGAAATGCCGAGAAAACACCTCTTCCCTAGCACTTCCAATGGGTGCCCTGTCTGGAGACCTAGGCCGGTAGGGTAGGGTTGTCCAGCCAGGTGACCCGTTGGTTTCGCACCTGGTCTGCGTTGTTTTCAAAGAGACAGTGCGTCCATTCCACCGTCATCAGTCTTCATCGGCTGGGTTGCTCAATTCCATGGCGGGCATGTCACTCATGTGATGTCCAGAATCATAAAGAAAATCAAATAAATATATAAGGCGTGATTGTTCCCCTGTTTACATCTGCTTCCATTCCCAGCCCAAGCTTCATATGCACCTCCTCCCTTCAACACCTCCAGCTGATCTACCCAATACAACTCCTCCCACCATGGTCAACTCAGCTGACATGGTGACATGTTCTCTGTCCACCCCACACCCACACGGCGCCAGCTCGCGCTTGGCATCCCCCGCTCCGGTCGCCCTTGGCCGAAAAACCCAGGAGATAACCGTCATCCTGGGTCGGTCGGAGCGGGGATTCGGTTCGTTCGCGAGGGGAGAACACCACCACAGCAGGGCACCACTTCCGAGCTCGGCGGAGGAGGAGCTACAGCACAGGTGACTGAGCTCTGCGGAGGAGGAGCTCGATCTCTGGACAAGGTCTTTTTTCGTTCTTGGAGGTGGGCGCTACCGCTACAGTGCTATAGCAGCATAAACAATGGCATGTGTCTTTCAGACTTAGGTCCTAAGGTGTGCAGGAGGGCTCAATCATGCTTGACCGGATAAACAAGCTTATAGACCCTCACCAGTCGTTCTCTACAGCCTCCAACAAATCACGCCTTGCAACACTGTTTGATCCACATTGGCCTCAAAACCTTCCAAGGGATTTTCGAAAAAACCCGCCGCTGCAGGATGGTTGAAGCGAACAACACCCCGCCGCTAGCCCACGCGGCGCGGCGCGGCGCAAGGCGAACCATGCGGGCGCCTCAGCAGTGGCGCCTTCGCGGGGGGAGAAGACCACCTCCCCCAGGAATTCCTCTTCTGGAGGCCTCGGCTTTGGGCGGGAGCAGCTGCTGTAGGTGGAAAGGAGAGGAAGACCAATTGCCCGGTTGCGCGGTTGATGAGTTGCTAAAGATGTCTACAGTGAGTTCAATTGGGGGAGCTGAGAGAAATCACGCTGATAGATGCTGACAGTGTCCTTGCGCGGGAAAGCCTCCCCAAGGCTCCCCAAGCATGTGCTCTTGGATTTGTGTACCCTTCAAAAGGCACTAGTAGGTGATCCTCGACTCTGGCGGATTGGAGCTCAGGTCGCTTGTTAAGCATCTTTAAACTGAAAAATGTTGCAACACGTCATGGTCTTCGACTGCCTAAAACATTGCACCGAAGCCTTCCTCACTGCTGATCACTGCCCTCAATCGTTTGTATGCGTTTGTCTCAAAAAAGCACCATGCGTTCGCTTCACGCCATCCCATTTTTCCTGCCAAGCTCCCCAACAACCACATCTCTGTCGCTTCTGCTCCTGTCACGTCCACCTGCACGTGGAACGCGGCGCGCAGGCGCCCCCAGCCCTACAGTTCGAGAGTTTCCAGGTCCAAGACATCCGGCTACCACCAAGACGTGCCACCCCAAGAAGGCCAAGGCTGGCGCCTTGGCAAGCCCCTGCAGCGGCCCCGTGCGACCATTCATGGCACTGATGCCCTGGGTGGGCAAAACGAAACGCTTTGCTGAAGGGAAGAACTCGAGAGGTGGGTCATGCATGCGGGAAGAACAGACCAAGAGAACCACAAAGGTTTTTTCGAGCACGTCATGTCTTTTCCTTTCATGCGGTGGGTGACAGCATGGTAACCCTATCCCTATACGTAACATTACGCAACCCTATACTTGAGCCATGAGAAAAAATAATGCGAATGCTTCAAAGCCATGGTGAATCTGAGATATCGTGGAATGAAGTTGGTCCACTGCTTTGTTTTTGCAACTACTGGTTGAATCCCAGCCGTGCCGACTTCATCCCACACGGTCTGTCTGACCGCGCGTTCTGGGCGTGCGCGTCTCAGGCGACCTGGTTGGCCTGACCCTTCGCTAGATAGGCCTGGTTGAACTCACCATGTCCCACCAACCCTTGCAGGAAAAGCGCAAAAAAGAACGATCCCATGCCCTACGATCGACCTCAAACAGAAGAGGTCGGACCCCAATTCGGTTTCCTCGGTCTGGACCCGAGAAGCAAAGCCTATATGTGTTTTGCTTGGGGCCCGGAGTCTGAAGGCGTCACCCCCAAAAACCACCGAGCCGTAGTTGACTTCGTCTTCCACCGAGCCATCTCTCTCCCACTTTTCGTGACCACGAGACACACCAGGTGTAGCGGTAGGCGGGATTGCTGCTGAAGGCGGGATTGATGCCGGGATAGTCCAAATGCTGATCGCTCAGCCTCGGTCCCCACTCATCCGATCCCGGTCCCGGTCGATCCGTCCCGGACCGTGGAGAACAGCTTCGATCCGGGACGAGAAGACGGAAGTTCGAACGGACGCATCGAGGAAACCGAAGGCAGTGATTGGTTCTATTATGTTCTATTTAGGGATTCATTCGAGACTTGACAGTGATTTGTCTGACTGACTTGCTTGAAGATGATGTGTCTCATACGGTATACAACCGTTTGGAGTCCAACCATATCATACGAATTGGACTCCAAAGATCTTCTATCACCTGCAAGATCCCACCCCAGAAGCGGAAGAAGACTGAAAAGCCAAGGAAACCCAGCAGTCCACCCGAACTCCAAGTGGCTCGTGCTTCTCCCAGCGCTGGGACGTCAAGTCGATCTGCGGTTCGGGCCACCGGTCCGTTGGTCTGTCCGGACCGGGGGGGTTCACTTCAAAGGAAAGGCATGAGCCAAGCAGGGGGCTTTGGTAGATCGTTTATGTTGGGACCTTGTGGTGCTAATTTCTTTTTGGGGTCTATATTTTAAGCTTTGAGTATAGTTGTACCACGGACCCTCAGACCAGTTCTGATACCTTGCAGTTCTGGTGCCAGGTGTAGAGGTACGTATAGAAACCTTAACACCTGAGAACGTCGGAAATAAAGTAAAACAGATATTAGAAGAGGTTCTAGACAGTCTAACAGTAGAACCTCTGAGACAGTAATATTCCAATGCAGTCATGAGGATCTATATATACGAGGTATATCAAATATTATATGAACCATTCAACTCCATCTAAAGCAACCGGTGCGCTTCCAGCTCTTCTTCCAACGTGACCCGCGGCGAAACGCGGCCCGCGCGCGTCCGTCATGCGTCCCGTCCCGCCTCGTAGCGCGTGAAGCGATTCGGCTCGAGGGTGTCCAACTCCACGACTTCCCACACCTTCCACCGTCGAGCGGAGAGCGGAGAGCGGCCCGGAGAGCGGCTGAGCGGCCCGGAGAGCGGAGAGCGGACGGATGGGACATGTGCTTGAGGTCTCAGCGGTCGGTCCGCTCGGACAGGAAGTCTCAGGTGCGTCCCAGTCCCACTGCATGTATGCCACACTTGGGCCTACATCACATCTAATATAGAAATATTACGTGCATGGAGTGTCTATAGGATTGGCCTAATTAGCGGCCTACGTACTTCTGTACCTCGAACTCTCCCTCCCCTTCCTCTCGAGTCCGAAGGTTGGAAAAGGGAGCAGACGACCCCATGTTCTACCGTGGTTCCTCTCAAAAAATGAGAAAACCATTGTAGCGGGGAATATGAACCTCGTCCACTCGCCGTGTGCTTCTAGACCTATACCTTTTGGAATCCAAGCCGTATGCACGTGGTCTGTCGAAATGGGAGGCTTCTAACCCCTAGGACGTCCCTAACGTGCAACCGGAAGCCTGTGGATAGTGAAAGTCTGAGTGGTTTCATGGGGAGTGAAGGGCTCCCTTGAACTAAGTCATTGATGCCGAACATTCAGAATCGCACAACATTTGACAAATCTACAGTACTGTGAATCCTCAGCAAGATCTTGAGTTTCGCCAGTTTCCAACCATCTGTCTGTCCCTGGCTTCCACCCAGTGGAAATCCCTCCACCCACCGGTGAAAAAGTGGCCGAAAACAGACTCTTCCTCTGGATGGCCCCCAGCAGCTGCGACAGGGGGCCCCCACCGGACGCTGCTGCGCCGAGGAGTTGCCAATGAGACTCAAGGTGGGGGCTCGCACCTGAAGGGGCAAGTGTGAAGTGGCAGGTTAGTTGGTCCAGGTGAACTTGGTCCGACCTCCAGTTGGTCCAGGAAGCAAAAGGAGAAAAGCCGTGACATGGACGGGAATGTAACGGTGTGGTTTGTCTTCTTTCTTGGGTGGAGCGGAATTGGAAGTGCTTTGGAGGTCAAAGGGCGTGCCTCAAGTTGGCCCTCAAAAAAAGGAGAACGCTTGGAGATTGATATATTGTTACTAGTAGCTACTTGCTCCTAGTAGTACAGCCAGGAGCCCCTTTAGCGCCCTTGCTCCTAGTAGCGATGCCAGGAGCCCCTAGTAGCTTCTTGTTGCTAGTAGGCATATCATGTTATGGATATTATTGGTTCATATCATAATTGGTTGGAGAGTCTATTGGCTGTTTGGATGATCTATATTCTTGGTTCAAACATGCTAATTGTACGGTTACTACAATAAAATATGTGGATTTGTAATATTCTTGATTATATGCTTGTTCCTGAACCCACTCATCTTGTTCTGTTGGCTAAACAGAGTTGCACCTCTCTGGCACGAGCTTCTCGAGTAGATGGCCGCTAACTGGCCCGGGACACCGGAGGTGATTTCCATCTGCGGGCGTCGATCCACCTCGTTCTTTTCCCGACCAACTGGCCCCACAAAACACAACCATGCTAACCCCCTGAAGGTGATTTGCGGCACAATGATCTACACTCTGATGAAGACATCACATGGTTTCGTGGATGGCACATGATTTCTTGTTCTTATAGTTGGTCTTGCGGAAAGTCTTCTTCCTAAACAGGACGTCTGCCATAAACTTGATCCGTGTTAGATCATGTTAGTGATCTGTTCGTCGGAGGGTACCGATTCATTTTGCCGCTGGTCTTATGTCAAGTCGGTCTGATGAAAAGACCCAAAGAGTAGACATTGGGATGCTTGCCACGACGCTGTCTGTCACAGCAGCGCAGCATTAAATGATCTGTCCCAGGGACAACAACCCAAAACTGTAGAAGGCCGACCCGTCCATTTGAAGGACCCGATTCCTCTGTGGTCCAGTGGTCTAGGCACAAAGTCCACCACCAACTTGTCCTCAAGCTCATAGCCGTTGCCAAAGTGTGTGCAGAAGTGGGTGTCCAAGTCCACATATCTGGCGCGAGTCCCAGCCAAGCAGTCCCAGCGAAGCAGTCCTTTTTGAAGCAGTCCACCAGCACAGGCTGCACTTCCCACCAGTCCGAGTGTTTGAATGGAACCCTATGGAACCTCAAACCGCATGTTTCTGGTAGCTCAAAGCCTTCTTCTTGCTTTCTTTGGTGATTGTCCAAAGACAAACAAGTCTTCCAAGCAGGCATTGAAACCGGTCTTGAGAAATCATCGCTCATCGCAACCCCATGAGTCCAAAAGTGGCAAAAGTGGCAGGACATTGGCTTTCACCAGGCGAATCCTTGATGTTGACTGATGAACCAACCATCCCGCATGAGTTGGTGGTTACATCGATCCCACTATCGATCCCTACACAGTGTGCTTTGGGGTTCATGAGGGTCAGTGGAGCAATTCTTCGTAATCTCGAATACACATCCCCAGAGAAAAAAACACTGAATTTTGGGCTAGACTCTTACAAGTGCTAAAGCCTGAGCTAGACAGACCCAAGTGCCTTTAAAATTTGAGCCCTTCAGGCCCTTCGACCCAAGTCTTTCGGTCAAAAAGTCACACGGAATTTGGGGCCCCTCATCCATCCACCTGCTCCCATCCACCCAGCTCCTGCTCCCATCCCGACCCGAAAAAACCGCCTGATGTCCGACCCATCGCGCGGCACCTGGACCGGGCGCACGTCGTCTTACGTCGGATGGATGCGGCTGCCGACAGAGCCGTAGGATCAGGCTCCAGCCAGTCTGAAAGCCATCCAAGTCATTTGAAAGACAGGCTGATCCGGATCTGATCCGCTGGTTGATGAGAATCCAACGGTCACCCCCAAGAAGCATCCCAATTTTTGCATCTTCCCAAGATTTGTGACTCAGGGTAGAGGTGATGATAGTTGATGTCATCAATGCAACATAATGCAACTAACCCCCCAGCCTTTGACTCGAATGGGTGTCCATCTACAGCTACCACGTTCGGATGTTTGGACCCACCTGAACCGTAAGGAGTTTCGGTGAACCGAACGAACTCCACCTGTTCCCAAAGCGAAACGAGGGGGTTTCACCCCAATCCCAAACCTGCAGGTGTTCAGGTTCTACAGACTTCCCCACAGACTTCGGATATTGTTTGAGGATGATTCCCTGAGCTTGTGAGCTTTGACACACACGGACACATCGAGCGCTCCAAGGTTCGAGGGCTCTAGATGCCAGGTCACATGAACCGAACAGGAGAGGTGTCTTGGAACCAGCAAAGATGGCACCAGTCTTGGACTCGGACCAAGCAGCCTTGGGGCGCATGGTGAACTAGAAGCGACCCATGCAATGGATTGAGGTGTTCTTGAGACTGACCAGGTGCAGGGCCTTTGGACGTTTGGCCTGGATCGGAAAACCTCAATCCCGCCCCTCTCTCCGCCCCTCTCTCCGCCCCCGATCGGTCGCCCAATCCGCCCGCCGCCCGCGCCAGGGCTCCGCACCAGCACCAGCTGCGCCACCTTCGACTCGTCGAAGTCGATGGCCTCTCCGATGGACCTCCGGCGCAGTCCATTCGCGTGCACCGGGGTCGGGGAAGGGGAAGGGGTTCACCCCCCCAAAACCAGGTGAGGCAATTAGAGTCGATTATAAAAGTATAGTGTTCTCTTTTGTTCCGTTCCTGGGTGATGAATGATGAAAACACAACATAAATATCTGGAATATCTGCATGGAGTGCTTTTTCGGTTTTTCATGTCAAGGTGCTGAAACACCAGCACGGTCGCCTCTCTGTTTGGTGCGTTTTGGGTTGCTCGACCTCTCGAGGGTTGTGACTCGGTGGTCCAACCAGCTGCAGAACTGCACATAGCAAACACCAGGCCAGACTCAACTATAATTGGATCCTTGATCAAAAAACTCACGGCATATTTGGATTGAAAAACCTCGTCATATGGAAAGTGTTTTATAATCGTTTGTCGTCTAAACATGTCTAAACTACTGGATATCGATTAGAACGAAGGACTTCCTGAACTCGTGGACCCTGTTCCGCTCGCTTTATGTTGGGGGCATGGGCATATGGCGATTGGGGCGGTCGTTGGCACAAGATGAGGGTGCCTCAGTCAGCTAGTGTCTCTGGAAAGCGAAAAGCGACGTGGGATTGGTTTGCAAGGGTGGACAGGCCCGTCCAGAAAAGAACATCTGTGTCTGTGTTCCCATGGCTACAAAATCTGCGCTCTCTGTGGCGAAAGTAGATGGATTCATCCAACTGGCCTGATATGGCCTGATCATTTTGAGTTCCCTGTCATTTTTTCCCTATTTAAGGATGGTTCCAGAAATCCAGCTCCTGAGCTACAGCCAAGCACGAGGAGCATTCCAAGGGGACAAACATACATACCCCCTCTCAATAGTCTTAGCTGAAATTTGAAGTGGTGGTGTGTGGTGGTTGCTGAAGGGTTGGCCAACTAAGTCCTTTTGATTTGAGCCATAGGTCTGAGTTTTCACAGGCAGCCCTTTTCCAGCAAACAGTCTGGCCTTATTCTAAAAAGGAAGGCTCATTAGCCGCCTTTGTGCCTTCAAGCAGCAAGCGCAGAACTCTTGGAGGAGGGTCACCTCCAACCAGCTGCAAAGCTGTCTCATATGTTCGGGTCATCTTGTCTTTGTCAGCTCCAGACTCGACCAAAAGCTGCACAATGCCCCAATGACCTTTCTGGGCTGCCAAGTGCAAGGCAGTCTCTTCATTGGCTCGAGTCACTACATCCATTGCAGCCGCCGCCTCCAGCAACGCTCGGACCACTTCCTGGTGACCGTTGCGAGCTGCCAAGTGCAACGCCCTTTCGTCCCGCAGCGTTCCCCGATCTGGGTCAGCTCGAGCCAACAGCAAGATTTGCACCACCTCGAAGTGACCGTCGCGAGCTCCCAGGTGCAAAGCCGTTTCCTGGTTTGGGGTGACCTGATTCTGGTCCGCTCCTGCTTCGAGCAACAACTGCAGAACTGTGCCATGACCTTTCCAAGCTGCCAAATGCAAAGCGGTTTCCTTGGCTCGAAAAACAAATGACATGTTTGGAGCAAAACACTGCCAAACCCACCAATTTGCAAGCGTTTGAACTACACAACATCGCCCACCGAAAGAGTGCGAGAGATCGCCATGAAGGGCGACATCGGATCCACAGCAACCTATGGATGACCAGCTGAACGTGCCCGTGCGCGTTCGGAACGGACGGCATGTCTCAAAAAGCCGCCCCTTGGGGGTTGTACATCAAAAGATCGGCGAGACACCGGAGCCGATGTAAGGCTAAGACCCAATAGATAGAAGTTCGTAGATCCTTTAAACAAAAAAAATAATGGAAACATTTGGCAATTTGTTCTATCTACTTGGGGACTACTATACAAAGTCTCATCGAGTTGAGTCGATTTAAGTTCTTTGAATTGGACGGATGTTGGTTTTCAGGTGTAAAAAATAAGACACTATATTATATCAACTGTATCGTCAGGACTTGAAGGGTCAAATCTGCTGAAGGGAATTCTCCCAGAATGGTTGGTTCATCCATGTTCATCCTCTGTTCGAGTTCTTAGTAGCTTCTTGTTACTAGTAGTCAGAAGGTTCCTAGTAGCGATGCCAAGAGCCCCTAGTAGCGTCCTTGCTCCTAGTAGTATGGCCAGGAGCCCCTAGTAGTTTCTTGGTTCGTCCTCTGTTTGCTGCAGCTTCGCTGTTGGCATGTGTTGCCACAAGTCGTGCAGAAAAGTTTCTCCTTTCTCTTTGGTCACTTGGTCCATGCGCGCCCGTGCTTGGAGCAACAAGCGCATCACTTCTAGATGGCCATTCCGCGCAGCCAAATGCACAGCTGTGTCTTTGATACATTGTCTGTCCTTGTCAGCTTTGGCCTCCAACAAGAGTCTCACGACTCCTGAGTCAGGTTGCTTTGCGCGGAAAAAAGGAGATACTGGTAACTGGCACGTCGTCCAACAGTCTGGCCTTACTTGGACACTCATTTCTCCACTTCACTCGACACTCAACACTCACCAACTCGACCCCCAACGACCCCATGGCTCTTGCATGTCCTGCATGGCTTTTGCGCGCCGCCACATGCAAAGCGGTTTCCTCTGTATCTTTGATGGCTTTCTCTGGGTCCACCGAAGCCTCCAGCAACTGTTGCACCACCTCCTCGTGGCCTTTCCGAGCCGCCAAGTGCAGGGCAGTCTCCTCATCTGGTCCCAAAACTGGTCAGAAGAAGCCCAGAACGTGGAAAAGGTAAAAATCCTTCGAACCCCGTCTAGGCCGACGAACGTGAGCGTGAGCGGAGCGAGGCCAGGGTGTTCCTGTTGAGGGACGGTGGGCATGCGGTGGGCGATGGGCGATGTGCCGTCCATTTGGCGAACCTTGGCCGTTTCGTTGACACTTCCAGGAGTCACATGTCGGGGTGGTGTTTGGTCCCATCCAGTGAGTGGATGTTCTGGGCCCCCCTAACCTCCATGGATCGCACCCCGACCTGTGACTGCTGGTTCATTCTTCTTGTATGGACCGTCGAAGATGTTTCTTCGGGTTTTTTGCGGTGTCCAGGCTCAGCGAGGAACAAGCACCACTGATAGCGGACAGGCCAGGAAGGACACACTGACATCTAGAGAAAGATAGAGAAAGCCTTGTTCAGCTAGAGGTGTGCTTCATCTAGAGAAGGGAAATGTTGTTCCAAAGTGTCGGAGATGGTCTTCGTGACAAGTCGCTGGCGCTCTGCACCGAGTTGCGAAAATGATTTGCGCTTGGGAGACATGGGCAACTACTGGCAAAAGCCGCTTTGGCTGACGCGCCGCTTACGCGGACCTTACGCGGATTTTGCCTTCCAACCCGGAAACAAAGTTTGTTTGGACGCGAAGGTCTTGAAAAAGAGGTATAACAGTACAGTGTTATACAGTGCTGCTGTTTCCATCGGATAGTGAAAAGGATAGTAAAGTGGCAGAAACCTAAACAGTACAGTTTTTAAAACTCATTGTCTTGGTGGACAATCCTTGTCATTGCGGGTTTTGTCATGATTTCGGTCCCATGCAATCTTGCATCACTTGACTTGAGGAATCAAATATAGCCAGCAACCTAATATAGCCAATCCCATGGATGTGTGTTACGCTGTAAGCTTGGAATAGAAAGGGCTCTTTGTCTTAAATGCCATTTCACACATTATAAAAGATCTCATATGCCATAACCTTTACGCCAGCAACATTGGCCACAAATGTGGAAACACGGGCTTTTGCAGAACGGCCGCAGGTCCTTGTCCTTGGACCTCCTTGCTTGACATGACAGCGCCTGGACGTATGTATTTCCAAGGGCATCGTCGGTTGGCGAAGCCTGTCAGTATAAAGTAAAACAGAATAGAGTATGAGTACAACAACATAGTGATAAATAACATAGTAATTATAGAATAACAGTTGAATAATATAGATTGGTAATACAATAGAATAACAATAAGTTAAATAGCATACAACAGAAATAAGAATATATATATATAAATAAATAATAAACAAATTAAAGTAGTTATGTAGTTATAATGATTTCAGAGTGGACGCACCACTCCAGCAAAGTGCATGACGAGGAAAGTGGTGTTCAAAAAAGAGGGAACTCTGCCATCTGTTCAGTTTGCTGTATCAGGCGTTTCAGAGCAGCTGAGGATCTTCAGAATGGTATGTGACCTTCTCTTTGTCAGCTCCAGCCTCAAGCAACAGCCGCACCACTTCCACATGGCCCTTGCGGGCAGCCAAATGCAGCGGGGTTTCCTCCACAGAATGGATGACGGGATCTATCAAAGCTCCCGCCTCCAGAAGCACCTGGACCAGTTCCTGGCGTTCAACGATTGCCAGGCTTCAACATCAGCGTCCTATGTCCAAGAAGCAAAGGCAATCCCCCTGTCACTAGGTAAAGGAACATATAGGAACCCTCCAACTGACCCAAGGGATGTCTTTTTCGAACCTCCTTAGATTTCCGGTTTCATTGAAATCGGCTGGCCAGTCCTGGTGGTTTTTCCACGCCGCCAAGTGCAAAGCCGTTTCCTGGCTTTGTTCCACGATCCTATTGACATCCGCTCGCGCCTCCAGCAGCAGCCGCACCACTTCGACATGCCCATCCAGAGCTGCCACATGCACCAGTGCCCGTCCATTGCTACCCGGGCTGTTGGGAGACACGGGCCTTTGCAACACCTCCTCCACTTCCTCACAGCGATTTTCCGCACACGCTGCAAGCAACCTCTGATGCTCCTCCTCTTCCAGTTCCACCGTCTTCAGGATCACCAGCTGCAGATTCTGACGGTCCTCCTCGCCCAGCTCCCCGAGCAGAGTCGCGTCGTCCAAGATTTGTCCGGTCGTGCACGTGCAGAGCCGGAGGCGGAAACGCGAAAGTCCCACAAGGTGCGCCAGCTGGGTCTTCAGAGCCTGGCCGTGTGCTTTGGCGGGTGCTTTGCTCCAAAGCCCACGAGGTAGGTTGGAACACCTTGAGTTTCCAGGTCTGGAAGCCTTGAAAAACTGGAGTGTGGAAAACCTTGAGATAGCTTGAGTTTCCAGGTTTCAAGGTTCAACACTACACGGCGTAGGGACTGTGAGAGGGTTATGTCGGGGGACTGATGCATCTACAGCGCAATAGAATAAGAGGTATAAACCAATCCCCAAGCACCAAGAGAGCAACGCCTTTTTACATGAAGCGGTATGGGAGACATCAAAATGCATAGCATATGCATATGCAAGCAAGAAACATAAGGCATAACCTATGACTTAAAATTGCAGCTGCCCAAGCATGGGCGCAAAGCTCCTATCCTAGTGCCAGAGGGTGGGGCACGCAAAACACAATAGTGCAAAAGCTGAGGAAATCAGAAACCCACAGCACGACATACGCTCCTGCAAGTAACACCAAGAAGCAAGGAGTCATAAGGAGTCTGAAAAGACTAGCAAAAGAAAGAACAATCGCCGAGATGCCCTAGTCCCCCTATGCTGGACAGGTGTCCATTCCATTTCTCTCTCTGCCATGACCTTTCGGTCCGCCTAAGAGAGCATTCACGGACCGGACGTTCGGTAACTGTATGGTCCACGTTTGTCTAGTACGCATGTCCCATGCTCTACCGCGCACCAGATATTTTGGAGGGAGTCTATCCTGGGTGTACCTCTGAAAACTCTGCAAGTAGTTCCAGCGGCTTTCACTTATGTGCAAGGAAGGTTGGTGTCCACTGAGCAGACTTGGAAACCTAAACCTCCGCTCCTTCGCAAGGTGGCACTGGTCGCAGAAACTAGAGTCTAGAGATTGTTGTCCTTCAGAACTGTAACACATGGCGAGACACCTGAAGAGAATGGAAAGATGCGTTCCAAACAAGTGGGTGGGGTGTCGGGGTGTCCCTCAATATATAGAACACCCTTGGGAACTCCAAAGTAGTGACATTCTGTGACATTCAATTTCATCCTTCCTTTTGGTCAACCTTGGTCAACCTCAGCAACTTCTTTCCCAAGCAGACTTTCCAAGTGAATTGCGGGGCCAAGCTAACACTATCTTCCCTTACTTCCCTTCTCCATGCTGCTTCATCCAAAGCACCGCCCTTTCACCCAAACCGCCCAGTTCGTGCTCAGCAGGTCGCCTTCACAGATCGCTGACCCTCCGTCTCCACACTCGCCACGGTCTCCCCCGACACCGCCCAGACGACCACCACACGTCCGCCCGGATGACCACCGCCAGGCGTCTCCATGCAGCCGCGGAGCGGGTGCCCCCGCAGACGGGGGGGTTCAGATGAGTTGTTGAGTCTCTTGAGATTTGTCGTGAGAAACACGGGATACATAGCAGCAATAAGAAGAACAAAAAAATGGAAACACTAAAAATTAACGTTGTGTTGTGAAGTGTGTGTGTGTGTGTGTCTATCCTGGTGATCCTTCTCACTGAAATGATTTTGATGATGCGTCTCTAGACCAGAGTTTCTACCGAAGAAAAGAAGATCGGGGTGAAGGTTTACACTCTGGAAAACCCAGGTCCGTAATTATATGATGTTATATGGGAATTTCTTGTAATTATTTGAACCTTCGAAGTGCCATGTTCTGGTTTATAGTGGGGTGTCCACTCACTTTTGAAGAAACATCTGCCAGTCTCCACATTCCCAAACAAACCTCGGATGGGGCCCACCTGTTGATCCATTTCTGGATCTCCGGTCGCCCCTGGGAAGGGTCGCCTTTCGAGCCCAGGACGCAGAGTTCCGACCCGAGCTCCGCGCCTCAAACCCAGAAGGCCCTCGAGACCCCGTTGCGGCGAGATCGCCACCGGCGCACGGCCTCAGGGCGCCGGTGGCTCGGTGCCATGCAGAAAAGCATGGAGCACGGGGCTTCTATAGGTGAGCTCGCTCGGTGGATGGGGGGTTGGAATCCAAAAGCACCAACCCACCCCTGGTGCAGGGGGTGCACCACCCCAACCAAGTGCCCACACTGAACTCGGGAGAGAGATGCTCGCTCGTTCGATGACAGGTTGTGGCTGCAGGTTGTGACCCGCCAAGTGTCCCCAAACAAAGAAAAAGACCTGCAACGCATGGAAGAGCACTGTTGTCTTTCTCTGCCATGAGAAGCAACCATTATGTACCAGTACCGATGTTTACCCTGAGAGGTTGGAGCAATGTAGAGATCCAATAATGATCCAAAATGTGCGATGAAAAAGGTATCATGACTTGTTCATGGCTTAAAGATGCTTAAAGAGAGGTCCGACCGGAACATCCTCTAGCTCGTGTTGGCTCGTGCGTTTAAATCTTCCTTTCGGTGCGTGCCTTTAAGCCCAGTGTGGAAACCCCGGACGCGGAGGTTTTGAGCTGAAGAAAAGGAGCGTCCAACCGTGTCTACCGTGTCCAACCGTGTCTCCCGAATCCCAGAGATCGATCTCCCGAAGAAGAGTCGGTGAATCGACCTGCTTCACCTCTTCTGGTTGAAACGTGGAGGTGTCCCAGACGGTGTGCCTCTTCAGTTCGGTTTGACCGAACCGAACCTAGGTGATTCACGGACTGGGACGGGTATACATAGGGGGGGTGTGCCAAAGCACGAAAATACCGTCCGTTTGATCTCTGCCCCACCCCGAATGGAGGTGAGACCCGTCGACCTTGTTCGAAAAAAAAAAGAAAGAAAAAACACGGGGAAGGAAGGACCGTCTCGTCGTGCAAGGTCTCAAATCCCTAGGTTTTTGAGGGACCAAGGGCTGTTTGGAGCATCTGGGCATGACTCAAAACTCAAGTCCACTGGCCACCCGGTCAAAGGGAACCAACAAGAACACCTGACCGGCTTCCGTCGGCTTCCGTCGGTCCTTCCACCTGCTGCTCAGATGCTTAAAATGTAGAAGCTGTCCGTCACCAAGAAATCCTCCGGCGCGAAACGCTACTGTAAGGGCACGCAACTCGGAATGAAAGCTTCGGGCGTGGCAAACGCCGCCAACGGTGAACAAGCTGGTGCTGGAGGGAGAGCAATTTCGGGTAGCACGTGGAGGTGTGTGGGCGATTCGACTGTTGACCCCCCTGAATTCAAACAGTTGGCTTCTCCACAGCCTCTTCCAGCAATTGCAGGTCTCAATGCTATAGACTCTTGATTTAAACATATTCACTGCCCCAGTCCCTGAAATCCGGTGGCTCCCGCCGTCCGTCTCAGCCCCCACGCGTGGTAGAAGCCGAAGCCCGGCAGCTCGACATCCAAGCGCCGGCCGTCGAAGCCGCCACCTGCGAGCCGGTGCGACCAGCTGCCCCAGCCGGACAACGAAGGAGACCAGTCTGCCCCGGTGTCTTCACCGGTGATCCAAACGTATTGAGGGACCTGAGATGAAGATGAAGCCAGATGGAGTCTGCATGTGTCGAAAAGTGGATGCAAGTGAGCTCTGCATCTGTGGCTTTCGAAATATGCGTCATTGAATTCAACCATAGACGCCAGGCAGGGCCCTTGAGTTGCTCCGGGGTAAGTGGTCAAACTTCACAGGCCCTTGAAAGAAGAAGCATCCGCAGGAGCCTGAGTTCACGGTCTCAGATGTTGACTCGCAAAGAACACCGTCGCGACGACGTGTTCGTCTCTTGACCCATCTAATTCTCCGCAAGCGCAAGCAGCAAAGACTCTGAAATCCCTTGGAGCTGGACTGCAGTCACTATAATGTCACTATAATAAGCAAAAAGGGACAGTAAACAACCAAAAAGGGTCACTAAACAACCTTCTCCCTCTTCAACCCACCCTCACTTCCCCCCTCCGCTCGCTCAAACTCCGCCTTCGGGCTCAAACTCCCAGAAGGAGACGCGCGTCAGGTCGGCGGAGGGGTCGGGTTTGTACATAAAGCCCACCTGCAACGCTCGGCCGAAGAAGGAAGGTCGAGGGGTCGAAGAAGGGTCGGTCGTCGGTCGTCGGTCGTCGCGGCGCGCGAGGTCGGGTGGGAAGGGTCTGGAGGTGGCAGCTTGGAGGCAGAGTGAGGCAGAGCGAGAAGCACTTTCAAAGTACTAAAAAAGAAAACGGACTGTAGGTTGGTACAAATGGAGACCACCCACCCAAAGGCCAGCAAAACTAGGGATGGAGAGGCTCAACTACTACAAAACAAAATTCTATAGTACCATCCACCCAAACAATTGCCCCTATGCCCAACAAAAATTCATGTCTGGGTAGAGCCCGGCTGTGCTTTGTCACAATAAAACACAAAATCGAATGCCTTCGGGCAGCCAATGGTTCGATCAAAGAAGCGAAAAAGTTACCGCTTTCGAGGCAGAAGAGAGGGGCAGCCAATGGGTTGAGTTCAAGGTGAAAGAGATCAACCGACCGGTTCAGTCTCAAGGCTTAACAGTGTTACAGAGTACCATGTTGAACCCAAGTATCCACCAATGTTAGCAAAAAGTTCATATGTGGTGCATGGTGAACACTATAACATAATTCACTACTACTAAGACGTTGCTTCGTGCCACCACACCCGTGCCACCACATCGACCGCCTCTCGACCGCTCTTGCAGTCCCGGCGCGGATGCCTCGCGACCGTCGACCGGACGTGGCGTGGCGTGACGACGTGGCTCGGAGCGGTGGACGAATCCAGCAAGTCCACCGACCAGATCGCAGGCCTCGTTTTACATCTCCATGTGGGGGACGTGTTTTTATATGAAGTATCACCATGTTAGAGGTGTAACTTGTGGATGCTGTTCGTGTTGATGGTGTAACTTGTGGATGCCAGAAAGAAACCTGCGAATCCAAAGAAAGAGTAGCCCACGAATCGATTTACCACGCCACGACGTGTCGACGGTTGAGATGGCGACGCGTTAACATCAATGCTTTGTCCGAAGACTGGCTGTCTGAGCGACCACATGGCAGCAACCAAATCGCTTGGGACTGGGGCTCCAAGTTCACGTTATGTTTTGCTCCTGAGACCTCCAACAGTAAGTTCAGTTCCAACATGTGCCCTGCCCACTACCACACTACGAAAACGATGGTTTTCCCTCCTTCTACAACAAGAAGAGGCTTTCCCTCCTTCTTGGCCATTTCAGGACTCGTCCAACCCCCAGCCCACCCCACCACCTCTGAGGAAACCACCACAGGGCTGGGGGAAACCTCGACACACACCCAACCAGTCATACCTCCCATCTGTCAAAAGCCGACGAGATGCGCGGTGAAGGTGTCACCCTCCTGCAGACGCGGCCACATGGAGAACAGGTGTCCAAGGGCTGGACAGGTGAGTCACTGGTGGAGCAGGTAGAACATGGAAAGAATCAAACATCGTTTCTCTTGTCGGACATATCTCTCGTGCACTTGATGACCTGCAGTCAGACTGCGGAAGATCCCGAAAGTCACCTCCAGTGGCCTTTAACCATCGAACCGGTCTTAAGCACGGGGCTACAGGAAGATTGGTGGGCACCCTTGTTTCGCACCCAGCGCTCGAGTACTCTGAAAAGCGCTGGATCACAGGCGATGGATCACAGGCGATGCACCTGCTCTCTCGCTCAGATTCCCTGTTACATCCTCATCCAGTTCTCCCTAGCTCATGAAAAATACCACCCCAGCTCATCTAGGGAGCTGCCTCCCCAGCTCACCTGGAACTCACCGTGTCGGTCGCCCCCCGGTTCCACCGTTGACGGTTCCCCACCTTCAAAGCGCTGTCGAAGTTCGTTTCGCCCTTGGTGGCCAAGCTCAGCGGATCCAACCTCCGAACGAGCCGACGCCCGGTCGTGCCGGTCCGGTCCATGGACATCCGAACGAGAGGTGTGGGAGGGGTCGGGTCGGCCGGGCGCTGGGTGTTTTGGAGGTTGAACAGGTTCTGTTGTTGAAGGCCCCTGTGGGTGGGTTATGCAAAGGATCTGCAGGAACAACCTTGAACTTAGTTTCCGGTTGTGTGAGAAAAACGCCGGGTGGTTGTCCAAACGAAGTCACGCATTTCTCTGATCCGAAGTCGCTGCGACACGTTTGCAAGTCGCTTTCAGACTGAGCAGCTGTTCCACCTTCAAATGCAATGTTGTTGGGTGTTTTTGACCACTTTTGACGTCTGCAAACATGGTGGTTATTTTTTTTTCGAGCTTTTCGTCTGCGGGCAGACTGATACATGATCTTCCAGGAGGCCGTGAACCTTCCGGGATGAAACGCCCGAATGAGCACTGGTGGTGTTTTGTTTCATGTTTTCGTGGTGAATGCACAGGACCGGTGGCTTTTTTTGTGTTATACAGAAGGGCTCGAGCCAGTAGATGGATTAATTTCAGTCGTCTTTCAGCATCATCTGGCACTCCCTGAACACCCCCTGCTCTGAGCTTCTGAGGCACCCTTGCTCTGTTGGCTTGCCGCCCTCCCAAAGTGCAAAGAGGCGGCCTAGTGCTGGACTTTCGGGTCGCGCGACGAAGACATGATTCTGCGGAGAACGGCGGGTGCCGAAAGGAACGAAAACACAAGGCCCGCAGGGGTTCTTGTGTTGCTGTTACAAGAAGGGGACCATGGCAGCCATCTGGTAGCTTGAAAATGTTCAGCTACCAAAGCCGGACACCCAATCTGTATCTCTCCGAACACAGGGTCGTTCTTCGTTACAGGGACTTCGGTCTTTTGCAGCTGAAACCCTTGAAACCCACCCAAGAGACAGGATGGATTGTCTCCCTTACGAACATAGCAAGCACACTGGCAAAAAGTCTGCAAAAGTCATCTTCCAAACTCCTCTGTCACCCTCAGTGGGTTGCTATATGGAGGAGATTGGAGGAGGGTGTGGGGAGTTTCTCTGTCACAGATCTGAAGCTCAACCAACTCTCAGATCGCCGACATCCACCGGTGCCAACGATCGTTGCTTTGTCTGCTTGTGTCGTCCCTCAAATCCCAGGTGGCCGCGGCTCAGCAGAGGTGCTTGGGCCCGAAATGGGGTCAAAAACTGAAAAAGCGCCTGCCCAATGCATCACGTTGGTGTTGGCCACGTTCTTCACCCTCATGTCGAAGGCCTCAGGGCCGACATGAGTGGCGACATGAGCTCTGGCTGGGTTGGTGGACCGAAGAATTTCTTCCGAGTGGGTCGGAGTGTGCTCTGGGCCGTCCTTGCAAGTGCTTTCCTTTTTGGGGGAGGGCATCCCAAAATTCTTGTGGATGTGAGCCAGGAGTTCTTGAGGGATATAGATCCAAGTGGAAGCCATCTGCGTCGTAACCGGAGGATCTGCAGAAGGCAGAAAGCACTGCAGCAACTGCGATGCAGAGTAGCTGCGGATTGCATCTTCAAAGACCTGCTACACTCCCTGAAATGAGTTATGAAATTGGGAGGCCAAACCGTTTCGTTCCAGTAATCTCCCCGCTCCCCACGGAGTGCAAGACGATCACGGTCGGATACGGTCGCTGTCAGGGGACCGTCTCAAATCCTCGTTCAAGAACCATACACTGCAGCGTAGCAACCCGTTTTTAGGTTCTCTCCAAGAACCAAATTACATGTTTGTTGCACCATTTCCACGCAAGATACGCAAGACGTCGAGCCCCCAAGGACTTAGGAAAACAAGAAACAGAACGCGAACGGAGAGTGCTGGTACAAGCCGATCTAAACCTAGGCTGGTGCATTCAAGACATGTTCACACAACAGGGCGAGCTGGGAATGTTGGAAGTTCTTGTTCTTTCTCCCCTAGTTGAAGGAAGAAGCATCTTCCAGTTCCCCTGACCCTTCCTTCCTCCGCCGTCGTGATTCTTTTCGTCAAGAAGCGTTGGAGAGCCATCCGCCTGGCTTGAGCGAGAACTGCCCCCTGTACAGCCTCGCTTGCGAACTTCGGTGTTTTTCTTCACTGAAGCCGGTCATGTGAGCGAAAAAAGAGGGATTTTTAGCACCACAAGATCAAGTTTAGTACCAGTTTTAACAGTTTAATACCACCTTTTGGGATACCTGACCCAGCTCAGCTCGTGGCATCCTCTTGGCCTCCAGCTCCTCCACAAAGCCCGGCGTCCGGACGTGCCGGTTCCTCCGTGCCGAAGGCCCAAGAAGTGACGCATTGGGGATCGTTGGAGGAGGAGTCTTCCAAAAAGAACCATGATTTGTCCAACAATCAGGATTCCTCCAACGATCAGGATTCTTCCAAGAAATCATCCTTCTTCCAAAATCAACCATCAGGATTCAAAGTGGTGGTTGATGGTTGGAGGATGTATACGGAGGATTCCAATAAGGATCAATGGAGGAAATATCCCAAAAAAAGCGGTGGTTGGCGGATGTAAGGAGGGAGATCCAAAAATCAGTGGTGGATGATGGTTGGGGGATGTAAGGAAGGAGGGTTCTTAGATTTTGGGGGGGAGGCAAAAGGCAGTAATGGCAAGCCGGACACTGGTTCTCCAAAAGCAGGATAGCTTGCTTGGCTTCTCCAAGGTGATCATTGAAGGCTTGATTCAGAAACGGAAGAATCAAACTCTTGGACTGCTAGAAGTCTATCTCACACTTGAATCAAGACCACCACCAAAACGTGGCCATAGACACCTATAGACATCACCTGCCACTCCACTACCGAATTCTTGGTGCGCCTGAAGTGTGCGTGCCCGGAGCCATCGAAGGTCACTGCAGCCACCTACAGTCCACTTCCAACCGATGCCACTCACATGGCATGTACTCACATGGCCACAAAGGACCGTGTGACATCACGAAGCCGGAGCCCATCACGGAGCCAATGGATGCGGAGCCCCACCGACCCGACGTTCCCCAGTGAAACCATGAGAACAAATAGAAGTACGAGACTAAGGAGACACCGGTGATCCTGGAGGTTCGGACATGGAGAGAAAAGATCAGCGAGTCCGGTCTGGGTTCAAAGAAGATGGAAGAAGGAGGACACTGACCTGGATTTGGGATTGTCACCCTCAGATTTGATAGTTTTGTCCCCCCGCAAAAACACAACTACACACCCACTGCTTTCTTTAAGGTCAGTCCTCAATCCCGAGTCCACAAATTTGGGGTACACATGGGTACAGTATGTACTCCATTACTCCATCGACCTGCTGGGTGTTCTCCATTCATTCTTCAAGCCGCCCTACCTCCGTGTCCCTTCGGGCTCGGGTCGTTTCTTGCGGTCGGAACGAAGTCGGGTCGTGGAAGAACCCCACGACGTTTCGGAGGAATGAGAGGTCGACCGGTGGATTCAGCCAAACTTCGTGGCCTCAGTCCCAGTTTTTGATTCATTATATACTGATGTATTATTAACCATATTATTAGTGGATGTCCGTCTTCGCCAATGGTTCACTGGTGGATGTCGGATGTCTGAAATGATTTTACTTCACCGTTCGTTTTCGAGCAGTCCACAGTCATCTGCTTGTCCAGCGTTTCCAACCACCTGAAAGATGCCTTTGCACCGATCCCTTCACCCTGTCTCGGCCCTCCGCTGGAATATCTCACTGCTTCAGACCTCCAGAGCATCACTCTACCAAACATACCCTAGGGCTCCTGGCCCGCCTCCTGAGAAGGTGGTTAGACCCTCCAAACCCACCCCAACCACCTTCTCAGGAGGTGGGCCAGGAGCCCTAGGGATAGAACAATCAGACAATTCGAGGAACTCCCAAATCCACACAGCAGTTCCCCAACCGCTTCCTGTCTTGATGTCGAGCGCTCTTCCCAGAACCGACCCAGAAAACGCTTCGCAGGCGTCGCGCCGTGGTGTTCAGGGAGGTAGGGAGGTACCGGGCGTTCGGGCCATTCCGTCACCATCGAAGGGGTGCATGATCTGGTCCCCACCCACCTGGCCACGCGGAGAGATCTTCGTGGATCGGTGATGGAATGGTGGACTTTCGGTCGGGGGGGGTGACTGGAAGATGATTTGATGGGATCATGACTTGTTGAACTTGTTGTTATACTGGGGATTCATCCAAGTCACAAAGTCCATTCACGACAGCCTTTGGAAAGAGTATGCGTGCTTTTAGTAAGCCAAGGTCAAGGTTCATACTTCAAACGGCTCAAAGAGTGGCGATCACTAAAATTAGATCTCACACATCAGATCCTAATCCATTCCGAAGCTTTCTGTTGACGAATGATAACATTTAACAAGCGAATCTGTAAGGCTCCAGCTAGAAGCTAGAAGCCATGATCCTCAACTACGCTAATTATAGACGACCCACTTTGCAAAGGAATCTGATGGGCTTTCCAACGACCCATCACATCACATCCCAAGAAACACATCACGGCTTTGGTCCACAAAACCAGACGCACCAGGCTGCGAAGCACAAAACCAGGTGGTGCTGGACTTTTTGCAGCTCCAAGCAACGTCGTGCTGTTGGCACTCACAACAACAAAACAACAAGAAACACTTGGCCCCTCACCCGCAACAAACGTCAGCACTAGGCATGATGTAGCAGTATCCATCGTGTGAGGACCAAAAACAATGAAAAACGCGGAACAAAAAATCACGGTTGCTCACACGGTTAGCCGCCATGAGCGAAAACAACAACCCCACGGGTCCTATTGGGAGTTTGTGAAAGAACCATTCTGGTAGGTTTATTGTAATTTGTCAGCTCAGTTAAGGATAACATTCCCAATGGGTTTCGTTTCACAGGACTGCTAGAGGACAAATATCTCCAGCATTCACCTCACAAACGGCAGAGTGCGCTCCCCAAACTGTTCCCGCAGCAAAGAAAGATGTCCTTCTCTTTGACTTTCCAATAAAGGCGGTCTCTGAGTTCTTGCATTACTCTGGGGGGGAAGCGATCAAGAGTCATGCAACGTCATGCACATGCTCCACTTCTGTCCACCCCACAACACCAGCCACGCCACCCGCCACCCACGCCACGAGGAAAAGCGCCTGGAACTTCGCCGGCCCGTTCCGGAAGTAGGTGCCCCTCAAGTCCGCTGGCAAGGCCTCCGCTGCTCGCCAGACCGGCCGTGAAACGGATCCGATGTTCGAAAAGAACTCTATCTGAAGAAACGATCTGAACATGGGATGAATTGGGATGCGTTGTGGGATGTTCATTTGTGGCACCACGGCTGTACAGCCAGATTTCCATGGATGAGGGATCCTCATCCTGCATGCACCAAGGAGTGTTACCTCCAGTATGCGCGAAAGGAAAAAAGAGTTGTGGGATGTTCTCAGCACTATCTCAGAGTTGTTGGATGATGTTGGAACCTCCCACAACTCATCAGAACATCCCAGAACAGCATGTTGGATGTAGGAGATCTCAGGCTCCACCAGAGCTCCACCGTGCGGAGCTTAGGGTGCAACGCTTAGCCGGGCAGCAGGTGTTCCGTGGTGGTCTGATCTCCAGGTTTCAAACGGTTTTCAGGTTTTTGGTCGCTGGACTTCGTTCCGGCCAACCATCTTAACTTATTTAAATCCATCTTCAAAAAAGGATCACATATATGAAAGCATGTTTGAATCTCGCAGCAGCCAGCCTCAGCAGCGAGAACCCCTTCGAAAATAGCACCCGACTGGCCTCGGAGTAGAGGCTGCAGCAAGTCTCTTCTTGAGCCTCAGCCAAGAACGATAAGGGCCCTGCCATCGGAAGCCAAGGATTCCAACCGGCCGGACCACGCAGGCTGCTCCCACGCAGGACCCTGCTCCGACCGGTGCCCAGCTGCGCCGGTCGAGGGTGCCGTCCGACAGTCCGCTGCGATGCCCAAGCGGTGCTGCGCAAGAGTGAAGCCAACAGCGATGGCAAAGTGAGTGGATATTCTGCATGAAATAAAATGTTGATCAATATTCTTTCATCCTGGGAAAGGCTGTTTCATATGTTTTATACAAAACTCTTTACACGGGGTTTTGGATCAACTCTCATATAGATCCCCGGCAAGGTCCCAGAAACTGGTAAGAATGGCGTGTAAGAATGGCGTTAAAACGATGATGGTTAAAACTCGTGAGTTGTACCTTGCCATCCCTTCATCCAAACAAAACTGGGGGCCCAGCAGACTGATAGCCCGTCTGCCATGCCTGGTCTGCCAAACAGAAGCATCGTTAGGCAAACAAGTAGAATCAAGTAGATGGTGTTTGTATAGGAGAAGAGGGCTAATAGATACCACGTTCTCAGAGTTTGGACGTTGCCTAATATTGACGGTTTAAAAGGTCTTGCGCTGCGGGAAAGTTGGCCAGGTGTGCTCTTCCTTTGACAAGGAGGACTGTAACGAGACCTTTTTCGGCCTCGAGATTCTGATACGCACCCCTGGCATGGTTCTATGGCCGACCCCTTCATAACCCATACACTCCATGGGACTGGAATGTATGCCTACATTGATCCCCCAGTCAACCACCCCGATCGGCCGTTTCTCGGCATCTCTTCCAGTCCCATGGGTCGCGTTCATAGGTCCATGAATCATAGGTTCCATCCTTTGAAGTTCAAATCAAAACTCACACCGTTCCACCCACCCGCCACAAAACCCGGCCACACGCCCGGGACACCCGCTGGGGCCGTGTAGGCACTCGGCTCGGCGAGCGATGCGAGGTCGCGGCGCGGCGCGCCTTCCGGTCATAGCCTCGCGCTGCATCCAGCCGAGGCTCGACCTGGCAAGCGGTGGAGCTGCGACAGGTAGAGCTTCTGTCCCTGAAATACGGTTGGACAGAAAAACATAGTGGACACTTCTCTACATCAGAACACATACGGTCAAAAACCTAGAACTGCTGGAGGGAACATGCGAAGATGAGAAGGTTTGTAGGTCATTCTATAGGTCCACATGTCCAAATCGACTCACGTATCACATGGAAGTGGATGGATGGAAACCTGAAAGGAAGACAACCTTCCTTTCCGATCTGAACTCCGCGAAACCATGGACCCAGTCAGTGCCAGTGGACGGGGTAAGGCTGCCTTGGTTTTGAGACGTTGCACTTCACCCCCACCATCCGGGAACAAAAACCTCTCATCCAGCGAGGCTTTCTGGGTAACTTGATCAAACTCCCACTTCCCCCGCCCGCTCCCGTCGCGCCCAGCCGCCGGCTGCGCCTCCGCCTGCGCCGTCGCGCGGGTCGTCGCCACGGGACGGCCGGCGTCGCGGGACGGCCGCCGAAGCGGGCGGAGGCCGCGGGAGGCGCAGGCAGCACCTGCTGCGTGGCTGCGTGTGCCGGTGCTAGAAACCTGCACCAGCCCAGTGCCATTCCGTGCGGAAAAAAAGAGGTGAAAGATGGTGAAAGGCCTGAAGTGAAAGCCATGAAGTGCTAGGAAGTGTGGAAGACCATCGAGGTGATGTTTCTGTGTGTCTTTTCAGCTCATCAGGCAGCGGACCGCTGAGTCGCTGGATGGGATGGAGGGACGGCCCCAAATCCGTGTGTTCTTGCTTCGATGGGTATAGTGATCCCAGTAAGTCCAAAGGACAGGTTTAACAAGCACGTTCAAGCAAAGGCCGCACTTCACCCTCAGATGATATAGTACATGATTATATGTGCATGGGTCTATATTGTAGACCTAATTATCCATCCTGGCATGAAGAGCCACTGGGGATGGAAGAAATCCTGCACCACTTGGAATTCACCACACTGGGGACAAAGTAGGGAGACTCATCTCGTGATGCAAGAATCATTCCATCCCAAGTCGATGTGTTCAAGCAGGTACATATTCCCGACAAGTAAATGGATAATCCAAAATAAAACCGGATTGAAAAAACCCTTCATAGGTGCATTAATCAAGAGTCTTCATGTTCGCCTCAAAACGCTAGTTTGCACGGCTGTGACAGTTAGTTGTGAGGGATATCACCCTGAACTACCAAGTGACACTGCTGGAAAATAGATTCAGAAGGTATTGACCAGAACCAAACCAAACAATTTGAGAATCGTTGGCCGAAGCAACTCAGGTCGAAATTCAACCGGATGCAGCACCAACTAAGGGCTATCGAAGCCTAAGTTTGCTTTGGAGGGAAATGCATTTTTGGGTGGAAGAATGTCAGGCAACCCAAGGCATCCTTATTTGGATTGGTTGGATGAGAGCAAATCTCGTTATGCAAAATTTGCAAGGAACAGCGGTGTGCCGCATGTATCGAAAGTTGCTCTCTCTCTCTCTGTCTCTCTCTCTCTCTCTCTCTGTCTCTCTGTCTGTCGTTCTTTCTTTATCTGACACCCGCAAAACTGATCAAACCCGCAAAGCCAGTTCCCTGAGGGCAAAGAAAGCGCCTGGAACCAATGTGTCTTCATTTCAAGGTCTTCTCCCAGTGTCTCACTTCCTTTTTGGGTCCATCCCCCTATCCACTGGGTCTAAACTCGGCGCCTCCAGCACCTGCTAAAGCTGCTAAAAACACCTGGCAGCTGCCAGAAACAGGCTCACGCTCGTGTAGAAAACTCGATTCAACTAAGTGTATATGCAGGTTTGGTGGGTGCCATTGCAAAACCAACACGGCAATGGCACCATCTTCTACCAACTTCATCGTCCAACTTCAATGGCCGCCATGGCCGTGGCGCTGTTCGGAGCGCCACAGTCTGTTCAGCCCGTGCTTTTCGGTCCGGCACAACAAGCGCATTCAGTGGTGTTTTGGTCCACCTCGTGGATGAAGTCTACAAGTTGGTGACATTCTTGGATGTGCAGTTCCCTGAAACTTGGAAAAAAACTTCCCCAGAAGAAGATGTACTCAATCGGGGAACATAAAACAATCACCCAATCCGCAAAAAACCAGGCATGTTCACTCTATCCCAGACACCTGAAGAGGTCGGTGTTTCCCTGCCGCGGTGCCTGGGATGTACATCTCCGGTGTGCCTGTCACGACAAATTCACTGATCAATCATGGCGCGGCTCAGATCGGTCGGAGTCATTTGAAATCACTTGCAGTCTGGAGCCAGTCTGGATCAGTTACAAGGTCTGTCAGGTGATTGGATCCTTCCGATCTTCGCCACTTGTCCCCTAAGGCGATGCCATGTGGTGGGTGGGGTGGGGTGGGTCTTCTCCCTGCAACCAGTGCCCGAAAAATACCCACGAAATCGGACCCTCCACTTCACCGTTGGGTCGGGGGTCGCGCGGATCACGGGGGTCGTTTCAGGTCCTATACTCCTTTGGAGTCGATCCGCCGACTGGTCGTGGGTGTTTTGAGAGTCTCAAGGATCGATCGAAGGTCGAGGATGGCTTCCGATAGGAAATGATCCACGTATCGAACGGGATGGAAGATCGCTTGCATCACTGGTCACTCCTTCTTCGGTCATCTACAAGCTTGTAGATGTTATCTACTAAGTCAGTTTCTTCAATGTTTTGGGATTCAAAGCCTCTGGCGTGTGGGTTGCTTACATCTTCTCAACATGATGAGGATGGACCAGGATGGAGAAAACATAGAATTAATTACTTCAGATGCTTCTTGAAACCAAATCAAATGTTCTTCCAAGCATATGCCGCCATGGACCACGGATGACTTCCAAGACTGGCTACCTTGACTCTCACACATGAAGCCGCGGAGGCCTGGGCCCACACAAGGGCCCTGAACTCCTCAACGTCCACCCGGGCCAGCCTTCCAGCAGGACGTTGAACGAAACAAACGACGATTTCTCGTCCCCACCGCTTCCTGTTAGCTTTATATGCTTTATACTTGGCCCCAGAATCCTTGATGACACTCTACTGGCTGACACCCTCTCTTGCTCTTCATAAACTTCATGATTCATGATGCTCCACTGTCTTCCGCGACATGCCGCTGATGCAAAGCCTTTTTCCCGTCTTGCATGGCAGCTTTCTATCGGGCGGCGCATCTCTTGAGCTAGGAGGTGTGGGAACAAGCAACATCACTGGCCACTGGTTTAATGATAAAGCATCCAACAGCATGGTTTCAGTAAACTCAGCAAACCTCCCTAAAAACCATGATGTTTCTCTTGGAGTGTACAGTAGAGTACGTTCGAGTATGAGGAGAAGAGGGTTCTGATCTAAGCCATTCGTAGATTCCTCTGCCTGTACTCTTGCTTTTAAACACCCTATGCCTATGCCTATGCCTATACCTTTACTTAGAGGACCCCCCCATTGAACAAATCCACATTTCTGGCAGATCCACAGTGAGACATCTAACACCATCAACTTCAACCGCCTTCGACCCGCTCAGCCGATCGGCTTCATTCCCACACCGAGCTAGGTCGGCTCGCCGCGCAGCCGACACATCCCCAGCGCAGCGTGCGGGTCGAAGCCCGTAAACTCGAAGGCGCGACACTCAGAGGTCAGGGAACACCAAAGGTGGCACAGCTCGACGTCCCCTGGAGAAGACCGGGCTCCGGAGAAGAAGAAGAGCGGAGAAACGGCGGAGAAAGAGCGAAGAGCGGTTCATTGAGTGGTTTGGCGCGGTGGGAGGAGGGTGGGGTATGGTGGGGTTGGTTTTTGGCGGGTGGCGGTTGGTGGCCTGTAGGTTTGGTGGAAGCATGTTTTGAGGGGAGCGGTCTCTTGGAAAGCCTCCCTCTAGAGGTGGAGCAGGGGTGGGAGGGATGAAAGGGCTATGCCAGAGGCATTCCATGCTTGGTGTGATTTTGTGCAGATCTCTGGGCCTATAGGGGGCCTCCTTCTCCAGTCACCATCGAGGCAAACCAGAGGCAATCCGGGCACTGGACTTACCCTTGTCCTCCAGGTCTTCTGATGAATTCCATACTCATCCTCTACTTCTGGAGGACAAACACGTCTGAAATCAGATGCCAAGTCGCCCTTGCACTGTAGTTTCACGTGTGTCACATAGTTTCGAAAGGAACACAAGAATGAACCGATGCCTCGAAACGGGTTTGGCCATCTCGGTCAGCCTAACCTGATATGTTTACATGGAGTAGATCCTCTTTGAAACATGCCCCCAAAAAAAAACGAACACGACCCAATGAGCTCTTCAGCACCAGAGCTTTGGACCAGACTGGATGTAAGAAACTCATCCCACCGCCCCAGTCTTCTCTTCGCCCAACACATCGACCGCGCGCGTGGTTCGACCGCGCTCGTGGTAGCACGGGCGGTGCCTGGAAAGGTCACGTTGTCGTAAAACTCGAAGAGTCCAGCGGGGTCCGACCACTCGAGCGACTCAAGCTGTTCATCCTTCAGCGGTTTCTCCTCCTCCAGTGGTTTCTCTTCATCGCTCTCCTTCGGCTCGCTCTGATCCTCACCCTTGGAGAGGAAAACGCTCAAGAAAGCCGCAGGCTCCAGCTGACAGTTCACTAAACCATGTCCTGGCGTCCGCTCTCTGTCCCTTCTGTCCATTGAGAGTTCACCACATCAAACACGCTCGGAACGCAAGAAGAGCAGTTGGCTGGAGGTCCAACCAGTTGTGTAGATGGAGGAACATGCATCTTCCTATGGAGACCTGAGAAGGTATCCGATATCTGGAAATCAAGGTGCAACGTCCCCTGAAACCCGACTCCCCAAGTCCTCGGAAAATGGCGTCCTTGGAAGAGGTCAACAAGACGAGAGGTGTTCCACCACTGGCCGGTCGAGACATGTCAAGGCTAATCATGGCTTCTGATGGATTGATGCTGTTTGATGGAAGAAAATCTGCTCACCTGTGATCCCAAACATGGTGAAACGCTAGGAGATGCCCTACCTGAGATGGTCGTCAACTGGATATGTTTGCTCTCAACTGGCTTCAGCTACTTGGAAAGGAATGAAGTCTTCGGTTTTCAACCAACCCAGGTAAGTTCCGAAGGATGAGTTCGTCAGTGCTGGGACAAGCAGACCAATTGATGAATCTATCTAATCTATCCTTTCGCGAGTAGGTGTGTGTGTGTGTGTGCGTATGTGTCCTGTCTGAACAAACACTGCAAGGTGAAGGGCGTCTTCCTGCTCAAAACGAAGGCGGAAAGACTCCTCCCGACCCTAAGACGAGAACGAAAGGTTTGAAAGGTGCTCCAAATCGGAAACACCAGGAACCCCCCAAACATGCCATAGGATGCCATAGGTTCATTACACCTGGGTCACCTGGGCCCTAGAAAGTGTTATTGTTGCAGGCCTGTACATGATCACAGAAACACCGGCCTCACGTTGATCAGAACCGTTTCGCCCCAAGACCCTTCAACCCTTCCCTGACCCCCTGCCTGCCCCCCTGACCCTCCCGCGTTCGCCGAAGACAAAGCGTCGCAGGGCTTCGGCGCGTAGACCGACACCGCCGGCAGCCGCTCGGAGAGGCCCTCGGCCGCCGCGCCCGGCACCGCGCCGCCGAAGGCCTCCGGTCGCGTCGCGCGAAGGGAGCAGCGCACACGCGGAGGGCGAAGGGTCCCACAGGGATGAAGAGGTATCGTCTTTGGGGATGAGGGAGATGCTTCAAAGGTTCCGTAAAAAGTTGAAAATGAAGGTTCCGTACCTTGCAACCTGTCAAGGTGTTTGCATTGTGTTTGGATGAATTGAAGGTTTCCAACTCTAATGGCAATCATCCAGTCCAATCACAACCAAACCAAACGTATAAGAGGACAAGCCTTCCTTCATGGCTGCTGGAAAGCAGGTGTTCGAGGTCCAACAAAAGTCGTCAGCTGAGCACTTCAGACCACTTGAGGTGCCTAAGAGTGTCCTCCAAACGGCCCATCTCTCAGACCACTCCACGACCAGCACCGCTTGAGCCTCGTTTGGATGGTCCATGGATGTCATCTACGTTTGGCCGCTCCAAAAAGCATCTTCAAACACCGAAGTCGCCTCTGTTTAAAGGTCTTGACTCCAAGCGAAACCGGCCCCCCCCACGGCGAGCTCCCACCTGGCTGAACGGCCGGGTCCGCACGTCCGACCGCGGGTCCGGACCGTTTCACGGCGGGTCCGGCCTGTAGAAAGAGGGCGGCGTTCGAGACCAAGAGCGGCCGCAGAAAGACCGCCAAGCGCGGTAAGAGGGGTAGTGCCTCACCACACTTCGAATGGTCTAAATGAGAAGAGCGACCCGAGGTGGCCTGGTAGATTATCTGGTGGTGGGCTGCCAGCAAACTCGTTTTGATAGAACTTGCTATGACAGGAAGACACTGGTCGACGCAAAGTGATTCCAAAGGTGGACACCTGGGCACCTGTCGTTTCTACCATGTCTGCTCACCATGTCTGACAAAGTTGTTCTACCCGAAGTCTTCAAAGTCTTCTTCTCCTCCTCACCACGTCGGTGCCTTTTGTGTGCCACCCTGGTCACCATCGAGGCTCTTCTTGATTCAAACAACCAGTTTTCGCTCCAGGAAACTCTGTTGACGTCGTACCAGATGCGGATTCTCCCCCGGGTTCCTTCCACCCTGGTGTGCGAAAGAGAAACGTCCGGGGTTGATGGAGGGGCGGTGTTTGGTCCCAGGCTTCTCGTTAACACATTCACCTGGCCCTTCGACGTGTTCGATCGTCGAAAATTCTGCAACGAAGCACTGAACAACATCTGCTTTGACCGAAAATCACCGGCCTCGGCCTCTTGTAGCATCCCAATATTTTTTATGACACCCCAAAAAAAGCCATTCAAGGGGGAATTCTGAACATATGCCCGAGGGATCCAAGTACCTTCTCAGACGGTGATTGGAGACAGTGTTATGTAGGTGCCAGGAGGGTCCAGTCGTACCTTCTGAGAGGGTACGACTGGATTTTTAGGGATGGTTGGTGCCAACCCCAAAAGAAGAGGCTTTCGCCCCGGCGACCTCCCGGCTCTCCTCGGATGCTGGAGAACCTCCCAGTTTTTTTAGGCTCAGGCTGAAAAAACACCCAAGGCTTGGGATCTGTCCCTAAGGCGACGGATCTGTCCCTAAGGGTCTGGTGGAGTTCCCCAAACTCCAACAATAGGATGTGCATTAAAAAGAACATGTGCACATCTCTGCGAAAGGCCTCTACAGTACAGAGCCTCTTACAGTACATCTTCGACATCCTCACGTGTGGAACACCAACTTGCAGTAGCGAAAGTATGCGAAAGTGTCCTTTACAACAGGGTGACAGGCCACTGCGCTCTCTGCTCTCTTCCCAAGCACCCCCATCCTTCCATCCATCCGTTACCAGGCCACTTGGTCAGCAAGCCAGCTGATCATGATGTGATCCACCTCAAAATCATGGTTCTTCAGAAAAAAGGAGTTCCCAAGAAACGGGTCAGTTTGTTGGCATTTCATCCTCCCAACCAGGGTTGGCTCAACCATAATGTAGGAAAAGTGGTTTCCTTCACTTTGCTGGGAGTCACCCGATCGTTCGACAGATGGAAGACTGGACACGCTCACATTTATACCCAAACAGAAAAACAAAAGACAGGAAGCAATACAAAGACTGGTCCCACCATGTCCTACCTGCCCAAAACGCATCAAACCCTTCCCCTTTTCTGCCAGAAGAGAAGAGCCCCGAAACCACACCGTCGCCCGATCGTTCGACGTCCCGAAAGCGCCTGCTTCGACCGACTGGTCGCCAGGCGCTGCAAGAAGCGCCGGCCTTCCGCCAGGCTGAAGACCTCCGCCAGGCTTCGTCCGAAGCGACGCTCCGACGGCGCGGGAACAGAGACAGGACCCAGACGCTCCGTTCACAGCCCGACTGGTCCCTCAAAAACGGATTTGAGACCCCAGACCCCTCCATATGAGGGTCCGA